GTTGTCGACGTGCAGCCATAGAGTACCGGGTACATTTACGGAGTTTAGGAAAAAAAGCAAGTTAAAAAGTAAGTGGAAAAAAACAAATTATCTATATATTTTTAACTCGATATAAGAACAGTTGAAAAAAAGAAATTCGGATTTATTTTGATCTAAAATGAATAACTATTTATTTTTAAAAATCAATAGGTACATTATATTATTACACATATAATATATAATTAGCCATTTGAAATAATAGAACATTACATCATGCATAGGTACAACAACAAAATATTTAAGATAACTTGCTCCGATAAATATTTTTGTGAAAACGTTAAAAATATTATCATTGAATATAATATACTATAGTCAATGGTGTTATAATATGGTGTATCTATTATATGGTACTATATAACATATAACACTAACCAATTAAATAACTTATTTACAATATTATAATGTGTAAAATTGCTTTTATTTGCTTGCTAATTATTCGCAAAACTTAAACGGCAACCTACGTATTCAGTGTTCGAATATAAAACAATAAAACCGGTCTGTCTGTCGGATAATCACGATATTCTATATTCTATATCAGAGGTTCCCAATTAGTATGAATCCACGAACCCCTAGCTAAAACTTAAATTGGTCCGGAAATTATAATTTTCGTAAATACTTTCCAATTTTGTATTAATATGAAATTGAAAAAAAATATTCTTATGATTTATTTTAATTTTACATATCTTTTTATAATAATTTACAAACAATTTTTCTCAATAATAAATAATTATTGCCTAACGACGGGTTAATAAGTAGAACAGTTCTTTTGATAAATAAATGCATGAGTTATTTACTTGAACTTCGTTAATATTATTAACAGTATTATCTTTTTCCACGCCACTTATTTTATTATTGACATTGTTGAGTTGTTTTAGTATTTAATTGGTATTATGTGAATAAAAATAATTTAGCCCTTCAAAAATATACAAAAATTTTACTTGAAGTTTATTATAAGTTGTACGAAGTATTAAAAAAAAAGGTTCGTAATTTAATAATTTTTTTTTTTTATAAGCGTTTAAAGTTCAAATTAACCGTATAAAAAAATTAATCGAATTTCGCTTAGAATCGTTTTTCGTTATTAGGAAGTAATGATTTATTGTTGCGTTCGGATATAAATTTTATTATCTATACATATTATATTCTACCTTCCCAACTTGTCAGTTGCCACCTATAATAGTGCCAAACTTTATGAATGAATGCATTTTCTAGACGTTCTTTAGATTACTTTCTTCAACAAAAATAATAATTTTGAAATATTGATTATTGTTTAATATTATAAAAGCATTTTCTTTTTTATCTGAATCGTATAATTTACGCTAACGACAAATTTAATAAAACCACAACATTTTGAATTTTATGAAAATCAAATATATTCATATGTTTAATGTTTTAAAAATACAATAATCATTATTAAACATTTTATATAGTAAATAAATTACTTATGATATATACATTTTCTTAAAACCAATACTTCTTTAAGAAAAAGAATAATGATTTACACCTTACATTAATAACGATATTTTTCAGTAAGTACCTATTGCGTCAACATCAAGATGATTTATCAATATACGTATACTTTTTTTAGTTTTTACGGAGTAGCTGCTTACATTAAATATTAGCTAATGGGACAAGTCTACGATGCTATTAATGATTTCAGAGGTTTTATTTTATTGTTTGTGTTAACACGACAATAATCAATAAAACTAATGACAATTTATATAGGTATATGGGTATTGGATACCCTCATAAAGTACGATATATTTTTAAAAGGTTTTTATTCTGAAACTTGTATTTTTGTCATAGATATAGGTACATGAATTATAAATTGGCATTATATATTATAATATATTATATAAATAACTATACTTGTCGTCAATTTCCATTAACAAATCCATTAGCATCAACGTCTCAACGTCTCAATTGATATACACATAATAATCCGACATTATAAGAAATTATAATATGACAAAGAATTACATTATACTATAATAATAATAATAATAACAAGTTTTAAACTTTAACACAATTTTAAATATTATATACATTTTAACAATAATAAAAAAAAAAAAAACTATGATTATTTGCATTACATAGGTAACTTAATTACAATACTTTTCTATTTTATACAGATAACAATTATTTTTATTATTATTTATGAAATAATAATATACTTTGTAAACGATGAGTACTTATATAGGTACCTTTATTTAATTTTGTAAATGGTATACAAATACACGCTGTGGTTATCAAAATGTAAAAAAAATTACCTAAATTGAAAAATGAATTTTTTTAACATTTAGAAATATTTTCAGACATTTTTAATAAATTAACTATCAAGTATGGTATAATTATCAGTTTAATATATTATATACATTGTACCAATACACATGTGAAAATCTTAGATATTATTAAATTAATTGATTAATATTTTTCGAAAAAATGTCTAATCTATTTTATTTTCAACCCATCTATTGCAACCTTTCAAGGAATGTCTGATCATTATTTTTATATCCTAATAAATAACAAATTAGGTATGTTCTAAGTTAATAATATAGGTGTATGATAAAACTAAAACATATTTGTTGATGTTTAAGCCAAGTAAAAACAGTTTAAAACCAGATATTTTTCATTTTGATCTCTTCTCAGCCGATTTTAATTGTGTACTTGTCAGTCTGTAACTATTAGAATATAATATAATTTTTTGAACCGTATTTTTAAATAGAATTATGTATACATATTTTAAGTGTAATTAGGGTTCAAAGTTAACATGTTTTTTGTCTCAAGTAGGTATACTTTTATAATGTTAAAATATTATACGTATATAACTAATTTAATGATATAAGTAAAAAAAAAATATAAATAATGGAATGTTCCCCGTTTAGTATACCCATACCGTAATAGTAGTAAATTCATGTATTACCATAAATCTTTTTTGTCCATAATTAATTTTTGCGTTGTTGATATTTTTATTCATCTATTAACGCGACCGTGTTTGTTGTGTGCCGATCACTTGAAAGACACTATAAGTAGGTACGAGGTACCTATAATATACCTGCTATTGTTTGCATAATTTCGTACGGATGATATTTTTATTAGCCTTTAGGTATGGAAATTATCCTGCTATTCGTAAATAGCCATATATGTGAGGTCAATGGTCTTTCTTTATACAGGACCGTCTTAAAAATCGTCTTTTAGTTATTTTATATTTATACTACCATCATCGTCGTATCAATGTTGTTGATGTTGATGATTATGACGGCGGCGGTGAACGATCCAAGCGTGACTCGTGCGACAGAGGGGTTTTCATCATTATAATTAACACATTTTGTTCGTATATTAGGTTGGTATAAATGTATCGGTAGTAGGTACCTATCGTGAAATTAACATTAAAACATTTAAAACTTTACTGGTGTATTATTTTTATTCATTTATCGCTTTAGAATTTCAGACAAATTGTAATATAATAATAAAAAAAGTATTGTTATATAGGTATATAAATCCAATAGTCTCGCAGGATTTAAAAGCTAAAACTATTTACAGTTGATTTATGGGAGTCGGAATAGGAAGTCTAGGGGTCCTGTCTCTTTCCAGACACCAATATAATTTCAATAAAATGCCAATTAAAAACCAGGCGTCTATGCAATAATACCTGATATATATATATATATAAATAATACCTTTGAAATACATATTGTTACTTTTTAGGATTCCATCCACAGAAAAATGTTAAAAATCCGCCACTGTTAATAATATTATACTATTTAATTAAAACCAAAGCTAAAAAATATTATTTATTTAACAAAGAAATACTAAAACTTTATGGGTAGGTTATACAATACAATTTTTAATTCAATTATTATACAGGCAATACATTTTTTTTTTCCTAAGTGGATTTCATTATTATTATTATTATTTTTATGTATATATATATATATATAAAACTATAATTTGAAATATTCATTATTAAATTACATAATTTTTTTTTCAAAAAAATGGTATTATGTTTATTTAATATATTTAAGACAAATATTGTTTCAATAGTTTTTGAAATTATAGTGGTTTAATTAATTTCTCTATGTTTAGTTTGAATAAATTCCAATGGTATTTTGTAATTATTAAAATAATTTGTAGTAGGCATTAGTTTACTTATTTTAACTAACATTTTTATTATTTACTTTTTAACTAATATTTTTTTAAAATTATTTTCGTGTAAATGTACATTTCTGGATTAAATGAGGGTATTTTCCGACTCAAATTAAAATTAAAAGTAAACGTGCCTCATATAAGTATCGACCATTAAAATAAGAAAATTAAAAATGTATATTATTTTATATCATTCTTAAAACTGATGTTGCAATTTTCGAGTAGAATTCGCTCAGATTTATTTTTTAAATTACTTTTATAAAGTACAAACCTGACCGCATTATATCTCGATATGTACGTATTATAATGCATAATAACGTAAATAATACGTAATATTAAAAATGTGTCGATATAATAATCAATTAATAATGAAACTATGATAAAATTTGTGCGTAAAATTAAAAAATACCGAAAAAGATGTATTATCATTATTATCTTTATTAATCATTATCGAATATCTTTAACGTCTAAAATCGTTACGTTTATTATTACTTTTTACGAATCTTAACGTGTGGATACGTACAAAATATATATATATATATTATGCGCGTTTTTTTTTTTTTATGTAAAACGGACATTATGTAATATAACATAGTACATAAATGTATCGCGTAAATATCCAGACGTTGTGCACAAAGTAAGATATTGCAAAGACGGACGGGGATACCGCGGTTACTGTATGATAGACGCAGACCGTATATACCTAACCTATAGAAGAAGAAGAAGAAAAAGAAGAGATGACTGGTGTAGAGTGTGACTAGTGAACCGCAATATATATAAATACGTTGGAGACCTCAGCGAGCTGGATCAGTGTAGTACGCACGTTAACTTTATGACGTTATTGTCACCTCCGGTATCCGTCATCATCGCGCTTTGTTATAATATTTTATAACTACGACGAAACCGATATTATCATTATTATTTTTTTAATTTTATTTATATGACATTTTACTTGGCCATTATATTTGTTCGTGACGAAATAACATTACGGGATTATTCGTTATATTAATCTTCATCGGCACACGTATTTATCACGTATATAATCGTATATAAAAGGTAAGTGGAATTTTTATCAATATTTAGCAGTATTTACATACAGTTAAACGGATTGGATTTTTGAATATTTTTCGTTCGTATCGGTCTGTTAAAAATAAAAAAAAATCAATGATAACATCTCCTGGAGATTGATGGCTGCAGTGTACATTAGTGTATGATAAGTCGATTTGCATCTAAAAGTCAGAAAAAACTGTAGGAATTTTGATTGACGGATTTCAATTTTGAAAACAAATTATGATTATTTGGTTTTTTTTTTACATGGATGTGTTGGAAATAGAAATTTAATTATTTTACTCGTAAAAAAAATAATTGATTATATTTTTGAAAAATGTTAAAATATTAACTTGAAGTATCTCGTATTTTACTTATGATAAAGAAAATTAAAATTTTAAAAAATAATTCCAACGTATCCTAGTAACGAACCTGAAAAATTCTAATGCGTTTTCGAAATTGTAATCCGCCAAACGAAATTTCTATTATACAAAAGCGGCCGTATCCCTTCCTCTTAAATGATTTTTGACAGTAGATTAATGAAAATCTTATCATTAAGGTGGTCATTAAAATGTAAACAGTAATTTTTACATTTACAAAATCTGAAACATATGAGAAAACTGTCGATTAAAATTTGATGCTCTTAAATCTATTTGCAGCTGATTAAATTTTAAACTTTAGTATTATAACTAGGTTTTACTCATATATTATAATTCATCTATACTATATTCAGAATTATTAACGGTTATAGTCGAATTTTGAATATTTAAACGTATAAAATAATTTATTTTTGATTATTTTTTTTGAATATTATTAAAACCTCGTATATTTATTTACGTATAAGTAACTATTAGAATATCACTGTGTCTGTTATATAAAATCATTACCGAACATCAGAATTGTTTTTGATGCAAATAAATGCATTTTAGCATGTTTATACAAAATCGGTCGGTCGGCCGTTCGAAATAATGTGAACATTAAAGTGCATATAGAATTATAATATTGATTTCGTAGACCAAATTGTGTAAAGTATATTTGGACAAATAAAATATTTTCATAAAAATATAGGTATTGTAAATAGTTTTTTTAAAAAAATCGCAAAAAAATGAATCTTCTAAATCTCAAAAAACGAACAAAAAACAACCGATAACATACAACTAAGTAAACAACAAGCGGATGAGAAAATAAGCCAATAACCTAACATTTGAACGGTAAACAGATGGTTATCGCCTATGCTTAGATATCGATTTTTTAGTAAATCTCATATTTAAAATATATATTTGAACGTTTTCTTTGTGCTTATACATTGTTTATTCGTATAATTTGTATACACTATAATTTCTGTAAGACCAAACTGATAAATTCGAAAAATAATCTTTCCGAAGTAATAGCAGATATACGATCAACACCACCGGTGCAGTTTGTATGGGAGGTTTGTTTGGGCATATTTATAGTCTTAAAAAAGTTTTTTGAGAGCTATCAAACAGTTCAGTTTTGTTTATAACAAATAATAATAACCGGTAATTTTAAGACCAATTATCTTATAGAGAAGTGATTAATATTTTAAATTGTAAGCAGTTTAATTTATTTTTACTGTATAAGATGTAACTAATAACAGTAATAACTATCCAGTTAAGTTTTGCTAACTTGATATTATATCATTTTAACGGCTGCGCTTATCACGTTTAAAAGTTCAGACGATCCGAGTCTATGGATTCCTATATTTGACCGGTACCCGTGCACAATAAATTATAACGTATGTCATATATTCTTGCAATGATAAAATATGATTCGTACAAACCTATTATATTATTATATGTTGTTAAAACGAAAACAAAATGACCGTGTAATAATAATATCGTCAAGAAAAAAAAATAGTACGTAAATAATATGACCTAAAGCGAAAAAGAATAGATAATATGCCAGCAGATTTTAGTTATGAAGTTCCTCCGATGATGATATTCCTGTCACATAAACTTGCAAGGCGCGCACGACCTCGAGCGGTATTTTTCGTTTTATATATTGTGATTGCCGGTTCATTAACTGCCGGTTTGGTAATCGTGAGTGCTACTGACACGTCTATTGAACGCGTGAGACGGAATTCAAATCGCGAGCGCAATGGCATCATTAATAAGGGCATTTATAATAATATCCAAGTATACAATAATGAAAATCTTTAAGTATATCATAGTGGCATAAACGGGATTTCTCAATGGAGTAAATGGGAGAGGTAGAGGGAAAACAAACCCAAAATTACATGTTCGTTCGTTAATAGTTTTAACGTTAATATTATTTACTTAATTTATAAAATTTAAAAATATACTGTTTCAATACTTAATCAATGAAAAAATAAACCATGTATAGGTTCGCCATAAAGTAATATAAATATGTAATATGATACAAATATTAAAAAATACTGCTGATGGATGGGGGCAGTGGCGTGCGCAGAGTGGGAGGTTAAAGCATATATTCCTCTCCAGAGACCGAAAATTCAGAAACCGAGATTCAGGACAAGATAACGGGTAGGAGAGTAAGTGTTTTGAAAATGCATATAAGAAACGCATTTTTGACGATAATGAATCTGGCTAAGAGCTAAGAGTATATTGGTGTGTGAACGGGGAGGAGGGTAATTTCCCCTATCACTCAATCCCTAGATCCATCATTATTACCCCCCCCCTTCTGGTCTAAACATACACCAATTATGAATGTTTATTTAATAACATTAATAAAGTTACAAGGGAAAATTGCTTATTGATTTATTCAATAAAAATTGGCTTTTCTGGATTTAGTATTTAAATTCTCATTGTCGGGTTAAGTATTTCAGACGAAGATTCTTAGGTTTATTTACGAATCATGATTATTATAATACTACATTAAATCCCCTCTCATTGAAGCTTCTTGGATACGTTACTTAAGTGTAGATATTAAATAGCCTCGTAGCTACGGGGGGCAAAGGGGGACATTGCTCCACTGGATCTAATCGTTGCCCGCCTCCCCACCAATAAATATTAAATGTGTATATGTTGTGTTATGTTTATGTAATATTGTTTTTTTTCTAATGTCCCCCCTAAAATTTAATTTGTGCTACCTGATGGTTCGGTCTGGCTAGGGGCTTGATATTAAGATAGGCACACTTTGAGAACAAAATATTATGCAGCACAGGAATCGATAAAATACTATAACATAATGTACGTAATACTTGCATTGTCCACGATGTCTTAAAAGCCGTCCGTCAAACGATTTCACAATATTTTATTTGGGATTCAATAGGTTTTAGCTGCTGCAACTGCACCGCACCGATATTTGAATTTTTTCGAAATCAAATATTATAATATATTATACATTGTCATGCATATATTTCTCGGTAAAAAAAATCAATTGGATAGTAGGTGGGTACCTATAATATTATTATAACAATACAATAATGTCGTATTGTTTACGGAGTTATACGGTTGTTATTTCGAAATTTCGTATAAGATTTATAATATTAGGTATATAGCATATAATATATGTACAGTGGTAGAAATGTAAAATAATGGCAGGGACGACAAGATAAGACATATTATAAGATGCATTGTATAAGACATACCGATATTACTGTATACGCATAAACTTAGAGTGTACCTATGCGTAATATTTTATGTGCGCAAATAATAATACATTTCGGAAGGATTCCACGAGTTTGAAGTAGCGAGAATCTTTTATTTTTTATTTTGTGGTCAAGGTCGGTATACCGACGAGAATATTAAACGGTTTTCGTGATTTTGTTTAAATTTCACTGTTTCAATAATCAATTCCACCGTAAGATTATATTATATTATTAAAGACGACAATCAATAATAATTGATATTCTATTCAATAATAATATACTTTCTATGTCATCAGATATATATTATTATATTTATATTCATTGTGACGCGTATAGTCTGCACACACAAGTGGATTATTTTGACCGACATCCGAATAATATTCGTAATATAATATTTATTTTATTCCAAAAACAAAAAAACAAAAATTATAATATTATGTACAGGGGCATATATATATGGGAGGGAGCGGGAATTTGGGGCTTTAATACCCACTTTTGCCTTTTGTTTGTACTTAATTTACTTAATTCCTTAGTCTCATTTTTTTCATTGATCCCATCCTCACACCATCTCCTAGCACAATAGTTGTCTATACGCCAAAGATAACGTTGGACCGTATAAGTGTATGTATTCAAGTGTTTGCCTAGTATTTATTTTTCGTTTAATGATATTGTAGGTATAGTATTTTTTGCTTATTCGTAAATTATATTATAATATAAAATAATTCGATATCTACACTTCCTGTAAATAAAAAATCAATTATTTATATTAGATCATAAATCTAGTTATAATTGTGTATGTAGCTATCGTTTTTTTTTTTTTTTTTTTACGAAGGCTTCTGTTTTGGATTCGTGTTTTATTAGGTATTCAATTTAGTACATCATATTATATTTTATACGAAGGTCGACTTTGTTGGCATTTTTATTCGTAAATTATAAAATCAGCAGTGAACTGTAATTATTACGCCCTTGTTCAAATTTGATTAATTCTTCGTCATCGTTATACGAAAATAAATTCATAATATTATATTTGTAAAACGTAGTTAAAGATTTAAAATACCGCATTCATTAACTTACGCGATAAAATATAGTATATCATATTATATTATTTTACTGATATAAGTTCAAAAAAAAAATGTTCAAGTACATACTATATATACATATATAAACCACTCGTGGTTTATATTTTATATTTGATTTAAAATAGTTTTTTTTTTTTAATATTGTTGAATTATTCCACGTTATTATAATAGTATTATGTCAAATATATTATTACTAGTATTCACCGTATCATAACGAGTTAAGAAATATTCGTGCGTTTCTCCGCACAATAATATACCACCCACGGATTTAAAAATAATATAATATTCATACATAATATATAATTTATACATTTTTATTAAAAATTGCCGTTTGCTATACACTCGTAAACGTATTTTGTATTCCAATATTTAGATAATTGTAGGCATACTATACAAGACTCGTGTGGATATCCCATATCCCTGCACAGGCCACATGTTTGCCTTATTACACCTAGGTGACTTATGATATTAACGTAAAAATGCCGGTAAGGAATTTTGGTCGAAGATGTAGACAAATATAGGCACAGTCTTTTTAATTCGAAAACAACTTTTTATAAATGGCTTAAATTTTAACTGAATAACTAAGTCGAGTTAAAATTATTTACTAAAAGAAATAATTAAGTTGTTTTTTAACATTTTATTTATTTATTTTAACTATATAGTTAAGTTAAAATTTATCGAAAAAAACCTAAATTTAAAACTTAACTTTTAAATTTTATCTAGTTGCTGTCTAGTATTGTATTTTTACCATTATAATGTATACCGGAATCGTACCATATTATTGAACTCAATCTCGCCGTTTTACGCTGCGGCAGTATAAAATATTTGAAAATTCCATTACTCGTATTGGTCGATATGCCAACCGAATCGCGTAATAATCATAAATCACCATCAGTGTTGTATATAATATACGTATACATAGTATAGCCAATAACTGTACAATATTGTCCGCCGAAAGAAAAACGAACTTCCGAACAACAATAATACATATAGACGGGTCGTTAAATAATATAAAACGCAATCCTTTTTGATAATCTCGCAACACACCCGTTGTATTATATTATGTATACAGCTATAGGTATACATTATTATGTGTTCGAGTGTATTCGACTTTATATTCGACTCAAAACCGCTTTGCCAGCTAAATAATCCTTATAAATTATTTCTGAGCTTTGTGCAGGATTACAGCGTATAGAATAAAACGAGTCAGCCACATAAACGACGCGATCGGGTTCAGTTTATATTATTATAATAAGTGTAAAATCCGCAAAACGTTCTCATTGCACAGGGTGTGTCCCGGCAAACGACCAAACGTATATACCTACATTGCCGGGTAAGGTCGAATTGCACTTATTTTAGTCGAATTGCACTTGGGTTAGAAAAAAAAAAAATAATGGTCGAACTAAACTCGGATTAAAAACCGGTAATTAATAGTCGTACTGCACTCGGGCCAAGTGTTTCAACAAAAATGTTCGACAAAATAAATGTAATTTATAAGTTTTTTATAATATGAATTTTCCTCGATGTTTTAACATAATTACAAATAGATAGTAGTACAATAGTATTTTAATGTAGAATACTGTAAACACATACCTTAAACTACACGATACCGAAAAAAAAAAATTGAAAAATATATTATCTTATATGCTCAAAAAACAATAACTAGAATCAGTTTTTAAATTCAAATTCCTATATAATTATTTAAAAAAATTATTTAAAAAAATTATTTAAAATAATAATAGTGATAATTTGATATATTTAACAACGTTTTTTAATTATGTACAAGCGTATCACGAAGATCTGACACCTGAAATAACTTTTGTTTGGTTCAATATTTTTTAATTATTTTTTTCTTGCAACAATTACTAGAGCCTTGCGCCAAGATGTCTCTATTTTATATATTTTTAAAACTAACAATAAAAAATTGTAGTCATTTTATAAATATATTTTAAAACAAAATGTTAGTGTAACAAATATTGATTTACAATATATCGTTGAGAATAATTTTTGTTAAAATATATACATATAAATGACTATCTTGGATATTATAAAAACTATTTTTTAAACATTTTATCTTTTTAATTTTTAGTTTAAAAAAAATATATAAAATAGAAGAACCACAACGCAAGGCTCTTATAATTATTACTAGGAAAAAACTTTAAAAGATATTTAACAGAATAAAAATTATTATTCAAGTGTTAGATTTTCATGTTACACTCAATTTCAATCACATCAATGATTAAAATCATCGTCAATTCTTAGCTTGTAAGTTGAAAAGAGGCATGACCTTTTTGAATTTAAGTACAATTCAACCATTATCTGTATTTGACCCGAGTGTAGTTTCACAATTTAATTTAGTTAAGAAGTGCAATTCTACTATCCCGGCTTTGCCGTTTCGAAATATATTTGTACAGCCCGAACCACGGTTTTTTTCTTCTTCCCTCAACTATTTCAGATCTTGGTCGCCAACTCGGGTAAAAGAATCGGTCCTTAATCTCCCCCATGACACCGGGATGTCTACAGCATCGTCTATATATGCAAACTCCGGCCAAATTGGAATCCTAAAATAATGAGGTATCGTGGGATTGATACAGAGAATAAACGGCATTACGACGACGTGCGTTAACCGGACATTATATAAACCGTAATCCGTTTTTTGGTAAAACATAAATAACATCCAACTTCTTTAAAATCATTCGCTTTGAATAATTATATGTTTGTTTGGTTAGGTTATATTTTGGTATGCGCTTAAAACGACCATCCTAACTGACATACGTATTTCATAATATTTTCCCCAAGTATTGACGTTGATCTTGACCTTGAGAACGCGACCGTGTTGATTAACCAAAGCGTCTTAACGGTTTCCGTATAGTGATCTTTATGTGATACGTACCTGCCTGTCTGTATAACAACTATCGGTGAGAGATTTTTTTTGTAAGTAGTAAACAAGGCACGCGATACGATTTATCGTCACAACGAACTGTATACATGTATATAATAATATACACTAGTGAGATCAAAGTAGTCGTATAACGTCTATTAATCAAACCGATTTGTTACGGGCTGATGAAGGTGGAGGGGGGTGGAGAAGGGGAGTTGTTGGAGACGAAATCAATGAACCGTTTTTCAGGTGCCCATAAATAATTCGGTTTGGTTTTGTCGAGTTCCGAACCGTGAGTTTTCGTGTAGATCCCATCTAGACATACTCGTGTATATTTGAAACAATCATATTATTTAAACAATTCCTTGGTGGAATTGCACGATGATTTTCTACACATAGAAATATCATGAAATATAGGTACGTATCCACATACAAAAACAATGCCTAATTTACCGATTAAATATACAAGTTAAAAAAAATACCACACAGAGATATACTTTATATAATTACATCATCATCTTGCTCGAAAATTGATTATTTTTCCTGCCGCGGGTTGGGTTTAGCTAATATTGAAAGCTTATCGGGTATACCAACCAATAAAATTCGAAATATTCATATTATACTAATAGAATAAGATCTTCAGACATTAATATTTATTATTATCATTATTATTGGTATTATTATTATTATTATCATTATTATTATCACTATTGCCTTCATATGATTTAAATTCTATTTTAATGCATATTTTAAAACAAGTAAAAGAATTCACAAATTTTTATTTTTTAATCAAAAATGCTTTCTTAATGAAATATCAAACTGTATTATGTGAAAGGCAATATTTAATGAATAGAGACTTTGAGGGTATACAATATATATATATAATATTTTGTCAAAACTCGAAACAAAATTATCTTGTATATTATTTAGAACATATATAGTGGGTACCCACATAACATATATAACATAATTATATATAACATCAATATCGAGTTCAAAGGGCTTAATTGAAATCTTAAATTAATTTCTGTTTATAATGATTTTAGTTTCAATTAAAATGTTTGGATTTAAACATAAATTCAATTTAATTTTTGAAATCGAATGGAAACTTTTGTTTCTTATAAATAATAGGTACGTTATTTTAAAAATAAAAGCTTATGCTGAGAATGGGTGCACCGCTATTGTTAATTTGAAGTTGAGAAGCTAAGATACATAAAGTTATTTAATTTATATCTGTACGCAACGATAAATCATTGCTAACGAAAAATGTTTGGTTTTATTATTATATATGGCTTTGAAATGCCATAATTTTGTACGATTTTTGTAAAAAAATTTAATCTTAATACGTTTGTAAAAAAAACTACTACATTACACTCCTTTTTTTTTACTATTTATAGTACAACTGATTTACAACATTTACAAATGTTTCTGTGCTGTCAAAACAATTTTATCTATATAAATCTAAATAAAAACTAAATAAACTAAAAAAAATGCCAAATGCTTATAAACAATTTCGGCATGTGTATATTATTATGTTTATAGAGTTATAGATAACCATGCTAACTATCATTAGACACCTTAGGACAATCATCGTGTTTAGTGTTCTAACTCAGTGTTTTCCAATTTGTTTAATTCTATGCCCCTATTGTAGATTTTCAAAAGTCTTATGTCTCCCCCTATTAATTAAAAATATGAGATAAATTGTTTTAAATTTAAGATATGGTAAATTTGCAGGTTTTAATCTTACCATATTTTATCACCGCTATTACTCCCCCCTAGGGAAGAATTCCCCACCCCTCGTTGAGAAACACTACCAAACATATAAAATACTAATAATTTATTATATTAATACGTAGGTAGGTGAATTCAATAAAATGCACTATACTAAATTATTATTGAAACTTTTCCAAGAAAATTATAGAAATTTGAATTGTCATTGTTTTATTGTTTTATATTCGAGTACTATTTCTAGCTATTAAGAGAAAAAAAAAGATTCAAGTTTTGATAAAGTTCATAATGCGCATTTGTTCAATAGACATTCTACATTTTAAAAGAAAGTTTACCTATTAGTATCTCAGAAAAAAATTGAAAATAAATTAACTAGTTAATAACTAATATCTTATAGTATTAGATATCGTCTATATAAGTTTTTATAGTAATTTCATGAAATATTGAACTAAGTGCTTAAGGAGTTTTTTTTCTTTCTTGAAAAATTGTAAAATTTAAATACGTGCCCTTTTTGCATTTAGCGATTTAATTATAGTCTCGTATACGATTTTACTTTTAAAATTATTTTATTTTATTATTTTAAATGTATGTTTACTGAATATTTTTAATTCTACAAAATATGTTTAACTAGAAATGATCTTTAATAGCGGATCGACATCGCAAATTCACGTGGGTTTCGTCTTCAACAATATAAACAGTTGCATGTTTAAGAACATTGAAAAAATTGAGTTATGGTACTGATAAAATATTTATATTATTTCGTAACGGTCAATTTTCATTCGATTGTATGTGTAGCTGATTTACATTCAACTGTTTGTAATTACTCTGTTTGTACGACTGTTTGTCTATTCTAATTCAGTTTACTATAATATTGTTTTGTTTTCCATACGGTTCTAGATAATAATAATTTGAACGGAATATCGTGCATAATATTATGATTGAATCTAACAACTTTCGCTGTGTAGCCAATGACCGAAGAAAACTATTCTCGTCTCGTAAAAAATGTATAACCTATGGTCGTAGCACTTACACGAGTTATGTGAATATGAACCGTACACTTACAAAATCGTTTTCTTTGTGTCTGCGGTCCGCCGTACCTAAATAATATATAATATGACTATGTCAGAGGAATCTTTATAACATCTCTATTATATCTACGGACCGTATTTAATAGAAATATCGACCTCGCGTAGTCTCGGGACCTGATGGACGTATTTTTAAAACGGTTGTCTGATTATGAAAAAAAAAAAAAATACAACATTTACTAAAACCATTATACTATTATTATCTATGTTAGTTCTAGACGCTCGCGTACACGCGGAATATTATTTTAACGGCTTATGTGTTGTGTTGACATTCATACGAAACGAGTTTAATGTCGTACAGCCGTGGAAATAATGGAAAAAAAAAAAAAAAAACCGCGCGGAAAAATATTTGCGAAACGTCAATAGTAATAGTGCCAGGGCCTAGGCGCAGGTAACATTATCGCGGGCGGGCAGCGACCGGCGGGACCCGCGGCGCGAGTGGGGCAAACGACCGTATAAACAATTCGGATTACGAGACGCCGGGCACTCATGCGGTGCGAATCCGGCGATTTGGATTAACATTATTTTATTCGTCCTCGGCGAACGTCCGGCCCGATGAATCACGCGCGTTCCATACGCCGTGTCCGCGTCCACGGCAAACATTACAATTGCGTTGTGTACGCGCACGCACATTCGCTTTGAGCGCGCCGCAAAACCGTAAAACGTTTTTACTGGCGGAGATTAATCTCGCGGGATAGGTCGGAGTCACTCTTGTCTCGCGACCGTTTTCCCGCCGCGCGCCGCGACCGCGAATCGGCCGACTTGACTGACGTTCGTCTGCGCCGTATTGAGCATAGCGTTATGCCCGCGCGCTTGCGTTGCTCGTATTGAAAATGGTTACTGACCTCTCCGGCGGGATTTCAAAGCGACATTGCGACGGTAATATATTGTAGACATAATAATAATATGCGACGAGTACAATAAATAAACACGCGTACGTTATTATGTGCAAATAAACTCGCGCTCCGATTATTATACATTTATAAATATATATATATATATATATATTGTGCGCGAGCGTACGTTTATGCACGGACAAAGAGTTATGGGAAAAAATAAAAAAATAAAAAAATAAAAATAAACGAATATTGCGAGAGATGTGCAAACACAACGCGTAGGCGCACTGTATCATAATAGATATATGGCGGCGACCGCGTGTTGTCGTGTTTACTGACTTTTCGAAAAATCCACTCGGGTCACCCTAATTGAAAACATACCGGTCTCGGCGAAACACTGAGAAAAAATAATAAAAATATGCGTAAAACACAAACGCGCGTCACCTATCTACCGGTCGGTTAAGAACTTCTCTGCGTATAGTGTACGGATTAACGAATTAACGGAAAAAAAAAAAAAAAAAAAAAACCGAAACAAAAATATTTGTACGCGTATTGTTTTGTTTGAATTCAAAATACGCTTTTTTTTTTTTTTTTTACAAATATCGTTATTTTATTATTCGTCGCGAGAGTGAACGCTCCGCGGAAACACCGATGCATAATAGATACCCGAATATTATTGGTATTGTAATTTTATCGCGGACCAGATTTGCGATTGGCGTGTAAAAATATTCGCGCGACGTTTTAGCATATCGCCAAGATGATATTACGAGTGGTGATGATGCCGCGCAGAGCTGTGGCAAAACGTGATGCGTCCATAGGTACCTGCACAGTATCGCTGTAGTAAACAAAAACGTCGAATATAAAAAAAAAACACAGTACACACGTCCGTAACAATAATACTATATAGTAGTAGTATGGGAGTGTACAAGTACGCGAATCGGTTTGTTTAGATCCCGAGTGTAGCGAACCCTATTAGCAGTTTTACTAAGACGTGTCTTTTTGTCTCTTTTTATTTTTTCCTTCTTATTGTATTTTCATCTAGCGATGCTCGGTCTTTTTTCCAGATACGTTCAGAATCGTAATGATTAGTCGTCGCTATCGATAGGTACGTCATTGGTTATTTCAAATTAAATTACCTTATATTATATTATATTCTATATCCGCGGCTCCCGACGTTTCCTGTTTACACACAGCAGTGGCGAAATGTGTCTATATGTTTACATTTTAATGTTCAATTTATACGTTTCGTTTCAATGTTCTGAACGATGTTTCTATGAAAATGTCATAACATTTTCCGTATTCGTCAAAACCGTCGAGAAAAACTGCTGTAGGTGCCAACATACTATATTATAAACAAACGTTTCTTTCGATGTCACTGTATAATATATTATTTGGATATATTTTATACATTTTTTTTTTTTTTTTTTTTTTTTATCACCAATTCAACGAAATTCGAAGAATACAATTTTACGATTATTATAAATCGATAATATTGCGCATTATGTTTAATTTACAAATCAAATATTTCATTAGTCGCGTTATAAAAAATCCGGTCGGGTGACACGTGTCTGAAATACACTCGGAATCGCAGTTAGCAACATGCCATTAAAACCGAAAACATGTTCGATTATATTTAGTAGTTGTATTTAGGTACTTATTGCAGTATTGTAATACATAATAAGCGATACGTTTTATTCGTTCTTATTAGGGACCGGATTTATACGCACATAAAATACACAAAAATACGCATGAAAAAGCCAAAAAAGCCCTAAAAAACACTTTAATAAAAATTTAAAAAAATACTATTAGCTAAAGTGGTAGAGATGTTTCAGTCACTCATTCTAACAGCTCTAACTTATAAAATGCAATTTTCCAACACTAGTACACTGCAAAAATGGTTACATAACACAAAGTTATTTTTCTTTATGTTACGTATACAATTATACGTATATTTTTTAAATACTTTGTTTTTCAATCATTTTTGCAGTTAGAAAATTGTATTTGTTAAGTTAGAGTCGTTAAGAAGGATATTTTGCGACGGAGGGCTATGAAAAAAAAAAGTAGAAAATAAAACAACCGAACCGTATTTTATTCGAAAATATTACAACCGACCGTATAATTTAGCAGTAACTATTAGTTATCAAATTGTGAGTTTCTTACCATTGTTTTGGAAGACTGTTAATGTATTTTAATTTTTAATCAGAAAATGTTGAATCATAAAACTTTGAACGTCAATAAATTTATTATCCTAAAACATTTTCTACGCAGTAATTGCGAACAATAATAAAATACCACTTTAATATATATTGTTATTGGCTGACATTGAATAAAATAAATCGAAAATATACAAATTACTAAAATTAGAATATTAAACTGACAGCCACCGAGACATTTTATTATCAGATATTATTTTTTCGGTTGAAATACGGTTCGGCCGATTTATTTTCGGCTTTTTACGCGCGACCTTTTCAATCCCTTCTACCAGTTTTGCTTTTTTCAAGCGATCAATTACGTATTTTAACAATATATGGTTGCATAACAGACTTGTTCGTCTCGTTTTGAACGGGTCAGAAATATCATTCGACCAATGAGTGCCAATACGTCGTAACACGCACTCGCGGTACTTTTGAATCCAATCCGGCTCGAAACGTTTTTCTCGGATAATAAGTAATAATTATTTATGTCCCTCCTCGGTAGCTTTCCCGTATTGTGTTTTACGACTGCAATCCTTTGTTTAGTCGCCTATTGCTGAAATGTCGATTAAAAACTTGTTCTCTTATTTGTTTGTCCATATTACACACACACACACACACACACACACACACAAACGCGTTAGAAAATACCCCATACGCCGCGCTAAATAAGCGAATACAAATAAGTACTCGAATTTAATAATGTATTTTATACATTTTAATTTCCAATTCAAACTGCAGTGTACATATTTGCTTAAAACTTTAAATGCACCGTTCGGTATAATGTATTAATACATTATGTACCTATGTATTTATACGGTTTTAAAACTTTATTTTGCCGTTAAAAATATTTGTTTACGCGCAGACAATAAGCACTCTTGACGTTGTTCAATTATCAACGTAAAACGATCATAATATTCCCTATAATATAACATTATAACTAAATTTGAACGTTTTTTTATGTATTTCGAATAAAAATGCAGCGCCTTTTTATATATATATATATACATATTATATTGTACTGATTGTAAAATATTTTAACGTAAACATAATACCCTGTATGCATATATAGGTATCTACATACATACCCACGCAATGCTGACAAGTATTGTGCGCGTGCATTGTTGTATATTTTCACGTCTTCTAAAAATTTATTATAAAATGTCACCGAAATAACTTTGTCATAACAATAATAAAAATAATATGTTTGCCGATAATACTTGATAGGTAGTAAATTAATATTCTGCCGCTGTTACACATTATCTGTACAATAGGACATAATATTCAGTAATTACCTACAGTATAGGTGTATATAGTGTATATATCAACCTACTTCAACAGTCTCTCACAATAAGTCTCTAGTTGTTCGTTTATTTTTGCCATAATTATTGGTTCGAGTAAAAAAAAAAAAAACTCATAAAAATGTGTAACTGATTTTTACAAAAAAATAACCGCCTCTTAGGTACTCTTAATTATGTCAATCGCCGGCACAACCAAACGAGGGGGGTGTTTTGGGTACCTATTCAACCCTCCTCCATCAATGTTTCAGCAATATAATTTTATCAATACGTGTAAAAGACTGTTTTTTTCAATACGTAGACATATTATTGTGACACCCTTAAAAAAAATCAATAAATAACCAATAAATTGTTATAAATCATTTTATGTATCATCTTATTCCTATTTTTAATCCTATTATCATTAGTATATTATTATTCCGTAATTTTTATTATTTCTCCTCTGTAGAGAATCTCGTCTATCAAAACGATGATTTTCATCCTTACTAATAAACGATGCAGTGAATTAAATATGTGTACATTTATAAACTTGAAAATACTTATCAATATAGTTAAATAAATATGTATCATTATTTTTAACAGTGGGAATCCGATATGGTTTTTTATACATTTTCTATACCAATTTAAAACCGATACTCTATCTGATATTTGAAATCGATAATCATGAGTTTATATTGAAAATAATCGATAAATCTGTTGAAAATTCAATTTTTTTATTTTTAAAATAATTTTATCTTATTCCAGAAATGTTATAGACATTTTTTTTTTTAATTATCTGGTAAAATATCGGTTTTGAAAAATCACAATATCCAATATTCCGATATTTTTAATATCGGCTCATGTTAATTCTTATCACTAATTATTAATTATATTTACTATCGAGGAATTTTAATGATTATTATTAGTGTATTGGTTAGATCCTGATATTCTACTTAATATGTAAATTACACATTTACACGCTTACTAAATAATAAATAATAAAACTACAGTTATCAGTTAAAAGTCGAGTATTTCGACATTTTCTTTAATTATTTTTTATGACATGTATGTGTATAATATTATAAATATTGTGTTTCTCTGTTTCATGAAACTAGCTAAAATAGTTTTTTCTATTAACTTTTTACCTCACTAATTTTTCAATACGAACAAAAAAGCAATTGAAGATATTAAGCAAACATTAGAAGAGCTGAATTCTTACCAAAATAAATTACTGTCTTCTATTGTTACCAAATATCCAACTACCAATGCTGAGCTAAATAAATTAAACAAGAAATTTGATGATATGCACAAAACAATAGTTACCTTAACAGAAGACAATAGGCTACTTAAAGAAAAAGTTAGAACCCTTGAAAATAAAGTTGAGCTTATTGGAAATATTAAATAATCTCCGCAGAGGTCTGTCGAACAGGATTTAATCTCAGAAAAACTGACAATCAAATTCATGTGAACAACTTTATTATTTTTAATTTACAAAAAGGAAATAGAGACTCTAATCCAGAACTTGATTCTGATTATAATAAAATTTCAGAAATATTGGCAGAGATGGATACTAACATCTTTATAATTACGCGCCCTCGTCTTGGTAATCTTAATGTGAAGAATGCGGGTAAGCCGCGTTCTTTGAAAGTTGTTTTATTAAATACTTTGGAGATCTATTCCACACTACGGTTATAGTCAAAATTACGCACTTTGTCTATATAGGCCAATATTCGCATCTCCGATCGTACGGTTACGCAACGAGAACAAATGAATCAACTTCGTGAAGACCAAAATCTTATTAAAAAATATGTAAAAGGTACACCAAAAATTGTTAAAAATTCAAAAAACTAATTAGTCAAACTAAAATGAATCTATACTTATCTGGTATCAAAATGTCCGTAGTTTAAACTAAAAAAAAATAATTTAAGAATTTAAATTTAAAATTCTTCATATGATATATTTGTTTTTACTAAAACGTGGTCCAAACAATATTAAATAATATTATTAAAATTTCTATTCGCACATTGATCGTGCAATACATATGTGTGTCTCTAAAATTATTAGATGTAAACCAAACCACCCGTTGCATTAATGAGTTAAAATTTTTAATCAAATAAAAAACAATATAAAATAAAAGATTTCAATTACTTATTTTAAAATATATTGATTGTCCTGAACTAATTGAGCGTTTAAATTTCAAAATAAATTAATTTAATTCTAGAAATAAATCTTCCTTTTATTAGATTCCGAGCATAGCGATGGGCTATTGGTTTTACAAAAATATTTATGTTTTTCTTTCTGTAATCTTGTGTGAAGATACGTTTTTTCCTAGTGAATTTGCTCCAATTTTTACGTGTAGCACCTTTTCTGAAAGCTCAAGTTGTCTAAATTGTACTTTAAATTTTTTAATTTTCGATGCATTTTTTAAATAAAAGTATTTAAGTGGGGAAAACGTAGGAAAACAAACAATTTCACGATTTAATTATTTTAAAAAATACGGATGACCTTTTCTACCAGAAAAAATAATTTGATCGAAAAATCATAAAATACCTTTTTTTGTTGTTTTTTTGATTTACTTTCTTACAGTATCATTGTCAAACATTTTGAGCCACTTTTAAACTTTTAAAGAATTTTAATTTTTGGGAGTTTTTTTACTATAATTCGGTTATAAGTAAACGTAGAGACTTGAAACTTGGTAATAATACTTATATTGGACTTACTTAGATGTAGTCAAATTTCCAAAATCATCAGACGACTTTTTTTTTTAATTAGCGTTTTGAAATTAAATTTAAATGAAAATCGCGGTACTTCAAATTATGTTTCACTGAACTGCGCTCGGAATCGTTTTTCGTCAAGCAATGATTTATCGTTGTTTACAGATGTAAACGAAATAATCTTTGTATACTTCCTTCCGAACTTCTCATCTACAACAGTGGTTACTCCCATCCCCAGTATCAGCTCTTTTTTTTAAAATTAGTTCTAGTTCATACAATTTGCACTCTCCTATGAATAAACTGATGTCAGTTAGTAATTCTATTTGTAATATTAATTTATTTAAATACTTCACTTAGTGAGTTAAACAGCTTATCATGCTTATTTAAATTTTAAATTTTAATGTATTTCTTTGATATGTAACTATATATAAGTAGTAAACATTTTTTCCCTTTTTCTTTTTTTTTTTTCATTTTATTATATAAAAATATGTATCTAATAACGATTTTTTATGTTTATTTATATTCTTATAATATTGTTATCTATGTTACTATTTACATTTTGCATTAACTGTTACATTATATATTGGAATAATTTCAGTAAAATAAAAAGATTAAGATTAAGAAGAGTAAAATAATTTATTGCAATTATAAAACTATCCGTTTCAAATTTCTTACATGACCATAATTTTGTTATATGACACAAACCGTAATCGAACAAAGAAAAACAAACAATCACAATGAAACACAATACCTAAATATTGAGCGGTGGCAATTATTATAATAATAGGTACCTACCTACTTTGAAAAATGATCGCTAGTCGATAATTGACCGCAACCGGTTTTTTTTTTATTCTGGCCTGGAAACTTTTTACATTGTTGCATTAAAATAACTTGAGTCAACAGACGACAATAAAATGTATACTTTTTTTTAAATTTAAAAATGTAATATGATCGGCTATCACATATAATTTGAACAGTAGGTATTTGTTATAAGTCGGTTTAATAATAACACTTCTTATAAGTTAACTAACTTAAAAAATATTTAGAGTGGAGCTCATAATTTAAATTTAAGTGTTTGCTAATGTTTTTTATCACTATTCATTTTCTATAGGGAATTGAACTGGGAAATTCGAAAAAAATATCTTTCCAAGGTATACTTTTGGACACCGAAATGCTTAATATTAAATATAGCTTATTATAGATTTCTTGTTGACACGTTCATTTTATTTAGAGGTTCAAATAGACAAACAGAATATTTAGTTAACTATTTAAATATTTATTTAAATATTTTATAAATAAAAACATTCAATTTACACTCGAAGTACAAATGAATAATAAATTAAATTTCTTAGATCTTACAGTTTCCATAATAAACAATACATTTGATTTTAATATTTACAGGAAACCTACACTAACTGATTTTATAATACCATATGATTCTTATCACCCTTATTATCAAAAAATATTATTTTTTAAATTCAATATTCTATAGGCTTGAATGTATTCCATTATATAAACATAATTATCAAAACGAGCTCAATATTATCTGTAATATAGTCCATAAAAATAATTTCAATTTAAATACTATTAAAAAAACTCATAAATCTATTAAAGAAAAAATAATACACAACTTACCGAATAATGTTGTTAACTATTGTAGTATGAAATATCAAAATAATGTGTCTAACTAATTTTGAACAATAATAAAAATAATGTAAAAATCATTTTTAAGACTAATAATAATTTAATCAAACATATAAACAATAAACAATAGAACTAAAATCTTCACAAAAAATCCCCATTTTTTTTGAAAATGCTGGTATAAATAAACTTAAATGTAACTGTTATAAATTGTATATAGGTAAGACAAATATACATTTTAAAATAAGATATAAAGAACATATTTCTGAAATAAAATTAAAAAAGACTGCCCCTAATTCAAATTTCGTTAGTTTTTTCTATTAAAATAAATTATTGCTATATTCTATGTAAAACGACCAATTTGTACAATTATTTTTGTTCTATGTATTCCTCCACTTAATTTTTTATATTCAGTCACGTTATACATTTTGACTGTGATTTACCTGATGATGAATTTTTAATACAAAATCGGTCGTATAATATTATCACTTATCACAATATTCCAGGCGACGTATTTATTTATTTATTTATTTATATATCTATTTACTTTGTTTATTTACGAGTATTAACCATTTTAATAATTTTGTTTTGACTTTATTATTTTATTATTGAATAATTTATCGAATACCTAGTAGTTGTATTAAAATGATTTTCTTTGTGGAAAAAACTCATCTTCGTATAACTAATAGCTATATTATGCTATTAATAGCTCCCTAATGTTGCTCGAAATCGAAAAAAAGAGAAAATTGTTACTTACAAATTATTCAATTTTGTATGCAACCTAATTTACTTAATTAATTATGGCAAATTAACGAGATACTATAAAATATCTCAGTCGAATGATGAAAATTGTTCAATATTTATTGACGAAAACTTAAATCTTCCAGGAAACTAGATTATAAGATGATTGAAAATTTGAGATATTTACAAGTATATTATTATAGTTACAAAATTGCAATACTACGTCATTTTTAGAAACGTAAACAATATTGAATGAATTTATTCTTTGACGTGAATTAAATATTTCATAACGATATTAATTTATCCGTTAGATGTTCTCGTAGATAATACAATTATAAAAGTTACGTACCAGTGTATCTTTAGATATTTCAAATACAATATTTTTCATAAAATATTGATTATAATAATATAATTATACTACAGAAGTTCGATAACATAAAACTTCAGATAACTAAGTTAAAAACGATTAATCAAGAAATTCGTTCAATTAAATTACTCATAATATAATTATTTAAATTCCAAATTCCAATAAGTTATGGTTCTAATATTTAGTCGCAATGGATTTCCTAAGAATCCACTCGAAATTTTTTTGAAATTGGCAAATTTCCCATTATTTGCAACACAACCACAACCTAATCATAGTCTAAATCAATAATCATAAATTAAATGTCGTTAACCTACTTTGGTGTAAAGTATAAACCATTACGGTATGCTTACTCATAAAAACAATGATTCATCGAGCAACGAATGTCGATTTAATTTAAAAAAGTTTATTTTTTTGTTAAACAGTAAACGAGGAATAATGAATTTGATTTTGTAAAGTTTATTATTTGGATTGTTTTGCAAAACTGATTTATAAAAAATATCTACGTATAATTTATTTTATGCATACAAAAAAATTTTCATACATAATATAGATACCTTCATAATATTTGTTTTCATTGATAATAATAATATGTTATTGAATTAAAACGATATTATAATATTGTTTTTTTATAAACAAACTTTCGATGTATGAAAGTTTGAAGTTATTATTTTTTGTCATTTGAATTGCAAAATTTAGGTACACGAGTCCTGAACTAATCAAATAATTTCCGTATTTGATATTCTAATAGTGGTAGTCTATTATAATATTATTGAGTAGTTTTATATTATATCAAACTAGTTCGTCATATTATTACCTTTTTTTTTCTCCATAAAATCTCATAACTAAAACAAATTTCGGTCACCAAAATATCAATACTTTCAACAAACTATTCTTAATCTTCACATTATTGTATTCAGTTGATAAAGCTAATGGTTTTAATTCAATTTAAATTTTCGTTCATGACACCAGTTTTATTTAAGAGGACCGGTAAGCGTCATATCTGAAGCTAGATGAGTTAGTCGTAGTTTGAATAGAGTTTCGCATGCAAGCATTTGTAAAAAAGTGCTGGACTTTTTGGCGGTTTCGTTAATTGGACAGACTTTGTGATCAGATCGTAGAGTTTTGTTATAGTAACGATTGAAAAACCAGGGTGCTTCCCACAGAAATGTGCAACGAAACCGAATATTCTGGAAGGCTTGAATCAGTGGTGCCCAAGTCCTAGAAACTTGTAGTCGGTTTAAACTTGAAATACGTTTCAAAAGACTTCAATAACTAAACACAGTCGATTTTTATGTCCAAAACTACGATCGGCGGCGTAAGTTTTTATTTCTGCAACGAGCCATTTATTCGGTTCGGCAAACCGGAATTTGGCCCGCAATAGAGCCCCGTGATTACATTTGAAATGAAGTCGGACCAAGGCTCTGACGCGGTGTTCGGCGCCACTGGCTTGATGTATAGCTGTCTCGAATTAGCGTACGTGCTGCGGTTAGTGTGATATGTACCCGAAGAATGCACTGACGACGGGCCGATAAAGAATGAGTCCGTTGAGACAGCGGCGAGTTAGAACGCAGGGTCGGCCTTGACCTTGCCAAGTGAAAAATCCGCCGAGATGTCACCGCGGCGAGACAGAAATCGGTGCACGCATTTCACGGTCGGGGTCAACGAGGCGCGCAGCGCAGGCGGTAAATCACGGATTTACGGTCTTCGGCGACGACGGCGGGATTATTCGCTATAATTCTAATATCGTGTTACACCGGGAACTAAACGAGACCATTATTTCATATTTGCGTTGTACTATTGTTATCTACGTTGTGTTTGCGTGGCCGATGATTGCGCGCGGACCCGACGCCGCCGCCGTCAGTGATGTCGAAGGTCGTCGTCGTTCGTCTGTATAGCTATAACCCGGTACAATGTCGGCCGTGTACCTGTGCCGTCGTCGATTGTCTGGAAGTGTCTGACCCGTGGCGACGGAGGGGATCGCGGTTGGAGGGGAAGGGAAGCTGCGAAGACGTAAAATAAAAGAACATAATATAATGTAGAAACGGGCACATAGTATTATTGAGCAGGCGACGCGTATAGGTAATAATAATATCTTCATCATCTGGTTTTGTTTCCTCGCCGGACGCAATAACGGGGAGGAAAACAAATAAATTTCAAAAGCCAGTGTGGTGTTAAGTCGGTCCTTACGTGTACGAACAATCGCGGAGCCCGCGAATTCCGATTATTTTCACGTTGTGTAAGGTCTGCTCGGTAAAATATTATCTACAGTCTGCGCAAATACGAGCGTTTGGTTTTTTTTTTTTTTCCCCACTGTCTCTCATCATTATTGTTATTAGGTATTTTTTTTTTTTTACTATCGTATCTTTAATTGTTTGCACTCGTTTCGGTATTTATATAAGTAGTTTCCTAGTCATCATCGCCGTTCTTCCCGCGAGGGTTTAACCTTGTGGAAGAACACTAACTCTCATTTCCATTTTTATTATTACTTTTTTTTTTTTTTTTTTGGACTCGCACAACACAAAAACGTTGTCCTGCACAGCAGTCCCTCGGGGGTCAATAAAATTAACGACTGGTTTANTCATCATTATTGTTATTAGGTATTTTTTTTTTTTTGGACTCGCACAACACAAAAACGTTGTCCTGCACAGCAGTCCCTCGGGGGTCAATAAAATTAACGACTGGTTTACGATACTACCACTCTTCGATGAACACTTTTAAACAGTATTATATGTATCGTGTTCCCGATCCAAATGGTGTTTTAAACGATGTGTATTATTGGAGCGTTTAGTAATTATAATATCGTAATAAACAAAAATCGAATTCAACTTCCGGATAATGTTCATACCCGTCGAAGGTTACGACACGTAAAGCTTGATTTCCAAATTGTCCGATAGTCATTCGGTGTTCGGGAAGGCCCACAAAACAACGATCGAGTCGATAACTACCCATCATATTCACTGTTACCTAATAATTTATTATATTAGTGAACCTTTTTTTTTTTTTGCAGTTTGAATGCAGAACTTTTGAAGGAATAATTAATTATAGTATAAAAATGAAAAAATGCAGTTCGACATCGACTCGTCAGTGGATTCTGCAAATCTGCATCATTCCCGTTTGTTTACTATGGGTGAGTACCTACATAATAAATATTTAAAAAAAAAACCGTATTACGATGTCATTGTTAGATGTTTATAATAAAATATAACAATACAATGCACGTTACATCAAAATATTGTAGGCTACTCATGTACAGAGAATAGATCGAATTCTTCAAACACTATAGTCCATAAACGAATTATTCACGTATAATTATACTTAATATAAGACGTGAAAAAATTATACATTGTTGACATTGAAGGAATATACTTTTTATAATAGTATTTAAAATATCCAATTAAAACACGAATTATAAAATAAAAGGTAATTTAGAATATTTCAATACTTTATAGTTTCTACCTTTTTTTATAAACGTTACTATATATAAATATTAATTGAAAATTAACTGTCCCACCCTGTTTTGCCCATGCCCAATAGTTTAACGCCCCTTTTTCGGACTTTTTTAAAGCAGAATTTTTAAAAAAATCCTTTCAATAACATAAATTCAATTTAATTAGTCTCCTCGTTTCCATCCCTATAACAGTTAATCGTTGTAGTTTAGAAATGTAATTACTTTTAAAAAGGGTACTTGATCCTTGTCTGTGATAACCAAATTAACTAATAATTAATTAATAATTGTTTTTTCATTAATTTCATCAGTGTCACCAAAGTAACTCAGAAATAATAAAAAAAATACATTTTCGTATTACAATAATAGAAAAAAAAAATCTTTTGCGAATCACCTTTTAGCAGTTGAATTTTGGAAATCCGAAGTTGAGATGCATACGGACCCGTTTATCCACTTCTGTACGATAATTTTTAGACTTTTGCGTGTGACCGATTCGCCTTTGGATCGCACACCAGACAGACACGCAAACATTGACTTTTATAATTATAAAGATGTCAAGAGTATAGTTTAGTAGTTCCTATTCCATATATAGTAGTTACCTATTCCATGTAATTTAAATGCCTTTGTGTACACACCCCTAAAACTACATTTCTAATATTAACATTAATTTGAGCTTTTAATTTCATTAAAAATGTCTGATAACACAACACTATATAATAGGATTACAGAATGTAAGTACATTTTATGGAATAAACTAACGAGTAAATTAAAATTTTGTGAATTGATAAAACAATATTATAATTAATGATATTATTTTCTATCAAAGATTAAAGTGCTGGATAATACATTTTACATGTAATCATACAATATCATGTGAATTTTAAATAACTGTAGCTCAGATTATATTTCAATAAATTGTACAAATGTAAATTTAACTGAATATTTTAGCTTTAAAATTTAAAATTTATGAAAGATAATTGGAATTTCTATCTTAATTTTATTTTTTAATACTTACCTATAATATCATCTCGTCGTATCATAAAGTAATTGTAGATACGAAATTATCAAATCCTGCATATTATACACTCAGTAAATATTTAAAGATAACGGGAAGAGAAAAAAATGTAGGTACTTAATATCTATACATGATAAGATGTCTGTTATTTCGGACGTGGATGGGCATTTTGTACTTAATATAATTTTAAATTCAATATACTGGATAAAAACACCCTCAAATTACATTGCCCAATTAAAATTTTACGTTCAGATAACATGGGAGTTTTAAAAAACTGTAAGTACAATTGTTTTTCAGGTTTATTACAAATTTGATAAATTCGGAATATAGTAAGGATGTATTAGGGATCTCATATTTTAAAACCAAATGTTTTACAATTATTGTTTTTTTATGTGTAAAATGTCCTTTTCACTAGAAATGATATTTATTCATTCATTGCCAGCCCAAGTTTATAATAGGTACTTATAATGCTTAAAAAAAATAATGATGATAACTATTAAGTGCACAAAGTCGGTTGTTGTTTTAAAACAACATTTTGCTTATTATAACTAGAACTGGTAAATCAATGGAGTGGTCAAAAATTGTTCTTAGTGAAAAATAAGGATGTTTAGCGCGTAAATCAGCAAATAAGCGATATTCGATCGTTGCGCATGCGAGAAAAATGAAAAAACAATTATTGTAAAACGTTCGGTTTTTAATTTTAGTCTATTCACGCCATATTCAGAATTATTTATGAAACTGAAAAACAATAATAAACTACATTTTTTACTGAAATACCTATGGTACTTAAATGTAAGCCATGATTCCGGCATGGGTTAATGAATATTTAGATAGGACTTTGCAATTTCCTAGGTATTTTTTTTCTTCAGAATATACTCGTATAGAAACGAACAATTATGTGATATAAAAAAAATTCGGGTCCAAATCTAAACTAACGGCTGCCCTAATATATTACTTGTATCTATATGAAGTATTGTGTGGCGATATTATTGAAAATATTTCACTGTTCAAATGAAGGATACAGGGAAAAACCAGGCAAGTCACTTTTTTTTTTCAAACTGAGAAAAACGAGTTTTTAATTTAAAAACGTAACAATTTTTTCTTTTACAAATGTTAAACTTTCCAATGTAGCAACCACAATAACATAATAATGTCATATTATATTATTAACCAAGGCTATAGCCGTGTATTAACCCAACACTTACCTGGTTATAGATTGACCATATCTGTTTTTTTTTTTTCTGTAGGCCCAAACTTCTGTCATTCGTTATTTTCGACTAATTTGGTTTTTTCGCCGTTTCGATTGCATAAACGATAACAGCACGCCAATACAAATTATTTGCTATCGATATCGCCATTTTGGAGAAAAAGTGACATGCCTGGTTTTTTCCCTGTACCCTTCAAATATTATATTCTACCTTTAGGAAAAAAAAAAAAATAAATTCAACTTCGTTTGAATAATAATAATAAAGAAATAAACACGTTGACATTAAAAAGTATATGTGCGTATATAAAATATTGTCATAGGTATATACGTATCCACCTATTGCAGGTAATCGGCTTAAGTTTACATAAATATATTATAATATATTTTTCTCATATGGATTACCGAAGAAAAAAAAAAAGCAATGTTTGAAACTTCGAAATGATATTAAAACCGGTTCGGATTTGTTAGATAGTATTAAGTCGCCCAAAAAGGTTGTCACCTTTTACGAATATTGAATTTCGTCACATCCGCAGTGATACCATCATATCTAACCGTAAACACAGATACAATGGAATTTATGCAACACTAACGAACTTTAATGGAATCTTTTTTGGCACCTATGCGGGCTATTGTTAGACCGACATAAATATAACATTATATCAGATCTCGGAACTTCGCTTCCAGCGTGCGCGAACTGGTGCATTTAAAAATCGTTTTCCATCTCGCGACGACTTTTTATTTTTTTTTTACTATAATATATTTAGGTAGGCACTATACTATATAACAAATTGAATAGCTCACAACGACTGAAAAAAAATAAAAGTATATTATAATATTAGGTCGTGCGTTTTTAAATAAAGTAAATTATACGATCCTCGATAAACACTTATCTACATTATATTATATGCAACAATGCGATGTATTTTTAAACCGTATGACAAGCTCAACTGCGCGAAAAATATATTGTATAATATTATAATATTAAAATTATGGTCCGTAGGTATACCGTTTTATAATACATATAATATTACATTGTTATTATTATTTATTGTAGTCGATGGCGTACTCGGGATTTTTCGACGGGAGGGGCCGAACATATAAACTAAATAATATGCACACGTAAAAAAATATATCCAAATTATTACAAAAAAAAAAAAAATGTCTTTTTCTTGAGGTTATTTCGCGAAATCCGTAATTGTATGACGTATAACACAATTATTTTGTACTTGTTTGAGTAAGTGTATGGCGCAGTGTTTTTTAGAAATACCGCTGAATAGTTTATATTATTATTTTTTTGTTTTTTTATTACGACCAACGGGGGGGGAGGGTAGTCCTTAACCCCCTTCCTTTGGGCACATCACTAATTATAGTTAAAGATTTGTGTATTTTTGACTGTAGCAGTAAAATTGGTTTTTATGGTACATTATAAAAAAAAAAAAAATTAACAATTCCCACAGTGATAATGTATGTGATATGAGGTACGTATAATTCTCGTATGAACAATGAACTCTAATTTAGACGTTTTTTGTGAATAACTTAAATGTTAGTACGGGTTTTCGGAAAATGTATTTTATTTTTAATAATGTCGAGTGTTGGAGTCTTAATAATAAATCAAACACGTCTGGTCGAACTAAAAAAATGGGGGAAAATACTTCATGTAACAAAATAAAATCGTTTCCTATCTTGTTCGTTTCGTGTAAAATCTAATTTCAAAAATTAAACAGGTTTCAAAGAATAAACTAACGTAGTTTAATTATTAAATAATATTAGAATATAGTGAGTAACACTGAAAAAAACAATCCTAGTAATTTATAATATATTATAATCATATACGCTAATAATTAACATTTTAGAGTAATTTGTGTTATTATTATTTTTTCGTATTAATTCATATTTTTTTCCCCATCAAATTAAAATTCACCTGAATAACTGGTATGAAAAATTCGAACTGAATGTTAAAATAATTATCACTTAAGTTTTGTATACAATAGGTATATTAATTTCACTATTATCGTATACGCGAATCGTAAAAGCGGTTATATGTTTGTGAATCATTTTATAATTTTCGTTGGGAAACGTTTCCGTAATACGATAATAAACGTTTCAATAATCAATATACGATGACATTATAATATTACAGTAACGGAATACTTATCAGCGAGGTACCTAAGTGTATATAGGTCATTAAAACCGGTGCCATTAACTATGAGTGTACTCGGACAATTTTCACCATTATTACTCATCAAACTCGCAGTTTAAATGTTTCAATGCGTCAGAACTCAATTTGTAAACGGAGTGATAAATCCTCGACAAGACACTTATTATCTTGGAAATTACCTGTTTACATTTTTTGTAGATTTTGAAATTTTTTTCGAAAATTTAAGAATAAAGTGTTACATGACCGTTATTATTTGTCATTGATATTTTTGGACATAAAACCATTTTTGATTTTTAAATAGCAATCTATATCAGTGGCGTACGCAGGGGAGGTGGGCTAAAAGGCTAAATCCCCCCTATTGACCGTATTTATATACATATACATACTTTTTTGTTTATATTTTTAAAGTTTCAACTGTAACAATAAATAGTAAGTAAGGACATTTTTTAATAAAATACGCTATTTGTGTAAGTAAATAATTTAATTTAACACCGCTGTCTATTAATAACCTTTTTATACTACTATATTATCGCAAAATAAGATTTTATTGGATTTATGAGATTGTTTACTTTTCATTATTTATTTTAACTGTGGTCACACTCGTCATAAACAATGGTTTTGTTATTATAACTTGGCGGTTGGTGTTACCGTGCATACTCGGGCTTTCATATAACCTTAGATACTATCTATGATTGCAAAGTGCAATATTGAACTTACTAAACTGATGTTAACAACAATTAACGTATCGCTAAGTTAGACCATGGACGTTGTAGATAATACTAACATATTTTTTAATTAGTGAAAAACAATTAGGTAGGAATGTAGATAATTTTGTTTCCGCTTATTTCTTTTGAGTATCAAAGTAATAAAATTTTGTGTAGGTTTTTCGTCATTGTTTTCGTATAAAACATATCTCATAGATTTGGACAATAAAATAACTATTTAATTATTCATTATGGCAGAAAAAAAAAAAACGGTATATAAGTATGCAACCCAAAATTCATAGAATTCTAATTTTGGTTGACCTCTGACTTTTTTAATCCTCTGCTAGCTTAAAAATTGTTTTTTACAACCTAAAATTTTCATAGTTACTTAAATATTACATTTTAGATTCTGAGATTAGCGAAGAATGTATTGGTTTTACAAAGAATTTTTTTTTATGTGAACACTTTTACAACCAGAAATCTTACTCCGATAATCAAGTATAGCACCTTTTCTGAAAGGAAATGTTTTGCGGGTGGTACTTTAAACAGATTATTTTTTTTAAATTTTCATTAATATTCGAGATAATGAGGAAAGCTGGTTCTTTAGGTTAGACAAAATTGAAAGATTAAAAATAAGGTTGTCATTGACAACCGTTTTTATTTATTTTTTGTTATTATTAAGTTTTTATTGTTTTAATTTTTTTTAAACAATCATTAATGTCATGAAAACGCAAATTGTTTTAATCATTTTGACATAATATGTGACATATGTGTTGTTCACAAAGCAACACTATCAAATGAACTCCGCTCATCGTTTTTTCGGTAGTAATGGTTTATCGTTGTTTACAGATATACATTAAATTCCCATTTAAATCTTACCTTCCCAACTTCTCACCTACAACAGTGGCCCCCTTATAACGTAAGTATGTCCGTCCTTTTTTAAAAATGTTTTTGTGTATTTATATTTTACTCGTATTTTTATTATCAGTCAGAACTGAAAATGCTCCTTCTTTATTTTTCAAACTTGTGATAAAACAACTGATTAATTATCAATTTTCAAGCTCCCCCCCATTCAAAATTCTCGTGTACGTCACTCGTCTATATTATAACAATTCCATAAATATATGATGTTTAATACTTAAAAGTTTGGATGGAGGGGGAGTAGTGGAGCTATATTAAAATGCCGGGCGTCACGCCACTACAAAAATTATAGGGTGGTAAAAAATAACGGTCATGTAACATTATAGAGCTGATTATTGTACACATTGGCAAGAAAAAAAAAAAATTCCCAAACATTTTAATACTTTCCGAAATAATATAGGGTCTTATCAAAAATTGATTACTCTGTATACACAGAATTTAATTTAATAACCCCCTCGTATACAGCGATTCGAGGAGAACGTCAACCGTCTAAGTAATTAAGGAGTTACGTATAGGCAATTGTAATGAATGTTTCGAAAACGTATCATTCCAAACGTATTCAAATTCCCACTACCTCATAGCTCATGGCTCATAGTGGTTCTCTTAAAATCTTAAAAACCTAAAGTCCCTAGACAACTGCCATAATGATAATTATATTTTGTGCTTAAATTTGCATGTACAATATTGCATTTCGGTGAATATAGATGAACTTATAAAATTACGAGAAAAACCATAAATAAACTGAATAAAAGACTTTTATACCTTTGAAATCTAAATTATTAGGCACGGAGAGTCGACAGACAAAAGTTTTCGGAATCGGGTTGTATAGGTAGCCGGATAGGTTACCAACAATAATGACGAAATTCAGTGCCAAGTGCCATTACAATGTAAAATGATAATTGTATGTGTTACCTGCGGGTTGTTGGTTAATATTGTCGACAAATATGTACATACATAATAATAATAATAATAATAATTGTGATTATATTTATAAACAAATAATATTCCAAATGCGTGGCGCAAGAGTGGGAAAAAAAGTAAAAGATAAGCGGGAATTTTGTTTTCTTGTTATAAATATTAATCATATTAAATCGACCAAATGGGGGAAACCCCGTATTTGTATTACACTGTTATTATTGTATTATGACGGTATTCGAATGTGTGGTTATTGTCTTATCTCAGCGAGCGGTATCCGCGAGTGATATGTCATTATAATGGCAGTTGGGCGCTTAGTGATTCAGGTACTATAACTAATGTTTGGGCAGTTTAAAAATTTAAAAATTTGATATTTCTCTAAATGTGCGAATGTTTTATGAAAAAAACACATGAAATATTTTTTTTTTCTATCATATCATAATTCCGCGACTGAAAGGGTTAAATTATTAACTTAATATGTTTATGAACGGGAACTCTAAAACTCTAATTTTGACATTAATTGCAGGGATAAGGACTATAAATATTTAAATTTGAATTCAATTTTTATATTTTGGTAAAAAATAATATTTTAGCTCTTTTCAGTCCTTAGTCCTTATATCTTAGTTCGTGTTACAGGTTGACACACATACTGATATTAAATTATTATTATTTGGAATAATTTAAATTTGGTATGAGATACTATTTTTCGTTTTTTCTTATCATTTCTAAAAGAACTGCCTTTGTTCCATTTTGCAAATGTCCGGTATCAAAAACGAAATAAACATTTATTATAAGAATAAGACAACTTGCACCGTGCTGTTCTGCAACATCGTGTGCTATTCGAATTCCATTGTGAAGGACATTAAATATTATACTAGGTTTAAAAACAAATTTTGAATTTGTGGTTATAGAAACCAAATTTTATCCCTTTATGTACACTTGGTTTTTATACCTCACGAGTGGTTTTTGCATGCGATTATTACAAAAGATTTAAATTTGTATGATAACGGACGACGTCTCACGGACCTTTTTGAAATTATTTTAGTATAATCCAATTATATTATTATTTTTATTTTTATAGGTTTATCTATTGGATTCGGCGATCGGACACGGACGGCTCATGGAACCGCCGTCGAGGAACAGTATGTGGCGGTTCGGATATCCAAATCCGGTTGATTACAATGACAACGAACTGTTCTGCGGTGGCTATTCCGGTACGACCGACCGAGAAACCACGTTGCGGTTTATTATTTTTTTTTTTTTTACTTTATTAGTTGAAATAATAAAAATCAAATTTAATCAGGGCTTGCATAACGTGTTATTTTACAAATAATTTGCAGCTCTAAATGACATTATGAATTGTTTTATTCGGAAATTACAAGAAATAATAAGGCGAAAAAAGGATGAAAATAATTTAATACCGGATATTCTCCGAAGGTCCTAATAATAATAATAAATAAAAACAGCTACTTATGCGATGAAGTCATCTTACAAAGAAAACAAATTTGCATTTTAAATGCGTTTAAAAAACCTAAAATTTATTTTTACCATTAATAAATGAACCTCGAGTAAAATTTGTAAATATTTCTGCTCAGCTAAAACAATGTTATATAATATATAAAACTAAATTCAAATCTAAACAACTCGAAAAAGTCAAATGCCTTTATATAACTAAAACAAACGTCAGAATGTTTTAAATTTACATTGAATTATATTAGCGCAGGCTATGCTACCAACTGATAATATTTATGTATTATAATTAAATCGAACCGGCACAGAAAACACTAATATGTAATAATAACAAGTATAATAAGACGGTGAAATAAAAAAATGTATGTTTTTAGTTCAATGGAGCAACAATGACGGGAAGTGCGGTGTGTGCGGAGACGCGTACGATCAAGCTCATCCTAGGAAGCACGAGGCTGGAGGTGAATACGGCCGAGGGATAATTAGCAGGCATTATTTTGCAGGTCAGGTAAGATCAATTGAAATATTACCTATATAGATCTATATACTATTGTTATCGATGTCGAATAAACAAAATGGTAATATAACCAAGCGTATAATTGAAATAAATATTTTCTCCTCATCAAAGTATAAGTAGGATTGGACTAGGTCACCAGGAAACCGAGGAATCCCTTGGTAGTCTACAATAAAAATTAGTCAGGTAAATTTGGTAAGGTCAGGTATATAAGATAAGTGAATAACCGGACCGAGTGACCAATCCAGTATAATACAACAGAAGATACGAGTTAGTTGTTTTAAGCTGTAAAATAATGTTCGAGTGGTTGGTAATTGGCCATCACGAGTTGATGTGAGCTATCGAGGGGTTTTTCGTAAGTCGTCAGTTCCTCCACAGGCTGCAGTAGTAGCTTATTTAGAGAGCTGTAATTAGCTGTCATGTCGGGGGTTACAGTAGAACCAATAGCCTATATTGATTGACTGTAATGAAGCGTCAGTGACGACGGTATTCAGGGAAAGTAATGACGATATAAATTGATAAGTTGGAACGGAGACGTTGTGTATCGCTTTGTGGGATGGGCTGGTATAGTAAATATGTCCCTGGCTGTTTGCATAAGGCGAACAAACCAGCTAGAGTATAGGTCAGTACTTATAATAATATGTTATATGAATAATTTTCTCGATTTTACATGCCACGGGTTCCCGCGTATTTTATTATTTAATAGACGGATGAAAAGTTTGATTTAAAAAAAAAAAAATAAAAAAACTTAACTTCTAATACGAAAGCTATAATATATAGTGTACTCGTATATTATGGAAGTATAATAATTACCATTTATCTACACTTAAACTTTGCTCAAGAACTTTTATACGACAGGCGTCGTGAAATATTAATAAAACACAATGTGGTATAAGAAAGTTTTATTATAACAAAACTTTTAGCTCGGCATCAGGTATGTCATTCGGAATTGAAATCCTCCAAGGGTCTAAAGCTTTTCGTAAGTAAATTTTCGAAATTCCAAGTACCTATAACCTACACGTAGGTATATGGATTAAAATCTTTGAAATTGCACGCATATTATACGAGTTTCCTATTGTACACAAATGAAATGTCGACTTGCGATATACGAGGATATCGGAGAACAGCACGGCGTGGTGTGTAAATTTGATTTTAGCTTAAAATGTAATTCAATGACCGTAAAAAGCTGAAAGTAATAAAATGCTTAAGACGTACAAAGTATTGTATATATATATATTATATATACTTTAATTAAAACGAAAATTAGATTCGCTTCTAAGAAAGTAATTTAAGTTCATTTTAGCTGTTCATAAATTTAACTCTTTATGTAGCTTAAATAAATAATACGTTTATTTTTAATTACATTGGTTTACTATAATAAACTTAAAATATTACAATTTTTAAACTGATAATATATATAAACGTACCGTATTATACTTACTGTGAAGTAGGTCACAAAGTTTTAACATTTCTAAAAGTGCAGGAATAAACTTTCCTTGTTTAATTACGTAGAATTGTTTAAACCTTAATTATCGGTTATGCTTTAAATCACATTAAAATTAAAATGAACGACTGAAAAAAAAAAAAAAAAAATACATTAAAAATTATACTCTTATATAATAAAATCGGTAATGTTACACGATAAAAGAAGAAAACATTTTAATCAAATCCACTTAAATAGTATATTATACGTTTTTGACGAATAAAAAAAAACTAACAAAATTGCTAGAATAACGAAATTTTATTAAACTAATCGTAAAAGTAGTTTAAGTAGAAATAACATGTTTAGATTCTGAGTATAACGAAGAAGTTACTCGTAACACAAAGATGCGTTTTTTCTCGGAAAACACATTTACGGTCAGTAAAAATTGTCCAATTCTTTCACATAGTACCTTAAAAGATGTGAATTTTATGCAATTGTACTTAATTTGAAACATTTATCAACATATTTAACAGTTCCCTAGCACCCTAGTCTATTTTTTTGTTATTTAATTTTTGTTGATTTCTGTATTATCTATTGACTGAAAACGCGAGTAATACATCTCGGCTTAGAATCATTTCACAATCGGTCGGTTTTACAAAGATTAGCTATTGTTGCATGGATTGAATTATAAAATGAACTGAAGAAATATTTTTTTTCAAGTTTTAATAATTTCAAATTCTGTAATGATAACTAATTAACGTTATTATTTGTGTTAAGAATGCAAAATTAGAGTACATGTTTTATTTTTTTACTACCGTATTGTTGTAAAGAAAAAAAAAAATAACTATAAATGCATTTAAATATATTCTCGCCAATGGTATACATACATATTTTATGGTGTCGCGTAAGTCTTTTAATCGGGTCACTTGGGTGTCATTGATAATTTATGTATACTGTATAGGTACTATAGCCGATTGGATAATCGTTTTGCAATATTTATGATATAGAACAGGCAACAAATTAATAATCGTTAATCGATAAAAAGATAAAAATAAAAAAGCTAAGACTGAATGAAATTTGGTGTAGTCATAGTTCGATAAATTTAAATTTAAAATTCGAATGATTTGTATTTATAAAACAAACTACATTTGTTATTTTTCGTGCCGAATATTTCATCATTTTTACAGAGCCAAAAGAGTACGTGAAAAGTCGTGATGTTTACGTTTTCCGTCAAAATTTGAACTATTTTATAGTTTATTTTTAAAGTTTATTAAAAAGATTCGTAATTACCTACAGATTTTCGTTACTTTTATATAGTGCCACAAGAAAAACGTATGACGAACCTTGTATTAAATTTTCAAAACAATTTTGATAAGCCAAACAAATTCGTTTCACGTAAAACCGAATAAGAACTATTCGATTCGAAAATGTCAATTATTAGCTATAATAAATATGACCAGAATTATTTGAACATTTTGTTACGAATAGAATGGAAGAAATGGAATAAAAAACCATTGTAAAATTAAATTATAGTTTACGAGAAAAATAAATAAATATTTTTTATTTTTTGGATTTCAGACAATCGATGTTGAAATTGAATTGACTGCCAACCATAAAGGAAGATTTGAAATGTACCTCTGCCCGAATAATAATCCTAAATACGAAGCGACACAATCTTGTTTAGAAAGGTAGGCCAGCAAGTGAGCGTTAGCGTATAACAAGTTGTCTATACGCAACGATTTAAGGCGCTTATTATTAATTGCAATATTGAGGCAAGTTCCATAATATTATTTAGTGGGTTTTGCAATAACCTAATTAAGTAACCTTTTACTTTTTGTTTATAATTTATTTAACCTAGTATAATTGACCTAACCTAATTACATTAATCCAAGTTACATAGGTCGTTTCTAGTGCAAAAATATATAATTATTTATGTATTTAAAATACAATCAATTAAAAAATATGACAAACATTTCTGTATTTATTTATATACAGTAAATATATGAAGCTTTATGTTAAACAAAACATAATATGTCTCCCTGTTAAACGTACACTTTCTTTCAAAATGAAATAACATATTAAGAGCGTTAATTGTGTTTTGTAACTCGAAAAGAAAAATGTACTTTTTTGTTACTTTAGGTATCCTTTGTACTTGTCTGGCACTCGGCAGGTTCGATACACGATCCCGGAAAATTCGAATAAGAAAGAAATATTCAGGTACAGGGTGAGGTTACCTCCGTATCTCACGTGTTCTCAGTGTGTACTACAATGGACTTATTACACCGGTGAGTACAATTATGTAGTGAATTATTAAGTTGTGTTGGTCGAATTATTACGTACTTCCATCGATAATAAATTATTTAACCATTCAATGTCCGTAAGTTTTTAGTGTACATAGGGGCTTGTTCATCCCGAAAACTTTATTTTTGTTCCCTTTAAACACATTTTCTTGGTCAGAAAAAAAAAAAATAAATAAATAAATAAATAACCGTTCCAAGTTGAACATTTTAATTGCGTCTATGTTAGTGTTTGTTCTGTTCGACTGGTTACATCGTTGTGTAGAATCTACGTCGTGGATTGTTCGATTAACGCAGCTATTTATAGTTTTCTTTTTTTATTATTATTATTTCACTTGTGTTATTTTAGACCTTTTATTGCCAAAACTAACTTCCGCCATTTTCCACTCTGCATAGGCATTATTGTATTATACACTATTAAAATATTATGTTTTATGCTCATAACGATTTTGAATTTGTATTTTTATCTCTCCGAATATCGATTTTTTTTTTATGTCCTGTAAACTTACCTAATCAACGAAACACATCTCGTTATTGTAGTATTATTTTCAGTATTCGAGTATGGGTTATTTAAATTAATTTTTTAGGAAAATCTATTTTCGAATCACGAGTCGTCCTTGAAATTATTCGTACCTATCTACCTACCTATAAATCATTTTGTCGAATATTCACGAGTCACGATAATAATGCGTATTTTTATCGTACTAAAATATTATTAAATTTAACATAATATCAAACAACGTAACGTTGTCGTATCGTAAACTGTATTAAAATTTAAATATTTTACACTGTAATGTAACACAATATTTTATTATTTTCTACGATTAAACTTTTATTTTATAGCTCCCGCGTCCTTTTAATAAAAGTTGTACTGTATAAGTTATACTTTATAACTCCGACATTTTTATTTTTAATTTTAAAACTAATATATATGTATATGTTTACATCCACTAACAAACCTTGTTTATTGTTAACCTTATTTGTATAAAACTCGCATTTATAAATTTTAACTATAGAAAATCAAATTAACTCGTTAAAAAGTTACGATTAGTTAGTACACGCTTTTAGACGATGAGTTTAATGAAACTGTACGGGGCGCGCTGTTGTTGTAACGATTTTGTAATTAATTTAATTGATTAGAAATACGGTGTATTGTTCTTAATGGTACGGCGTGTAACGTAAAGGGACGAGTTTGTGTAATATGGAAATGGTAAAAACTGCAATATTATTGAAAATATAGTTCACAGTAATCTTAAATGCAGTTTTCGGAAATAGTACAATCTACTTGTTGTACAGATGTATAGATCCTATAAGTAATGCGATGACTGTATGATTAATTTGATTAACGTATGGCCGTCTTGATATTGTATCATGTTTAAATATTGTATTATTAGTCTAATTCCCAATCGTCGTAAATCCGAAAATGAGATTTTGAGTTTACGACGTTTCTGATGAAAATAAACGGTAACGCATCGATTTTAAAAGCATGGCTGACTCAACAGAAAACAATTTATTATTCCACGAAAGCGCTGATAAAAACACATATATTATAACATATATAACATACATATTTATATATTGTATATTTAAAACATAATACATTATACAATATTGTCATTTTTGAGAGTTAGGACCAGGGGTGGTTCCTGATAAGACTTGAGGGGGACGGACATATTTTGCATATTCTAGATACATATCTCACTCCCTCCTCTATATTTTCAAGGACATAAATATCAATTTCACGCGGTACTATAATTGCCAAAAACTGTAAAGCCCAGTTATAACGCTTTATAGTGTTGTACCTTTACCACATGAAAGTTGTATCAATCGTGAAAAAAAGATAAACTGAAACAAAATTTATCATATTTTATAATTTATTTAATCGTAAAACATATTTGTTAATTTAAAAGAAAAAAAAAATAGTAGCTATTAGTTTTTATATCGCCCGTTTTTTTCTTTTTATCACGTGGGAAAAGTGATAATTGTTTTTACGGAAATGTCATAATAAGTTATCGGAAAAAAAAATGTGATAATACGGTATCCACCATGGGACGAAAAAAAGTACACTATTTTTGAGAGTGTATATACACGTAGAATCGGTTCAAGAGTAGCAATCAATATATTATTAATAATACGTACATAGGTATGTGCATATATAGAGACAAATGCAATTTAATACTGGTATGTGATTTTAAGTACTCGTAAATAATCTAGATAACCGGACAAACTTAAATTATTCTGAAACTTACTTTTTATTTATTTATGAAAGGTAAACAGTTTTGAGTTATTCCGCCATTATAGTTTGAGTTTAAAAAGAAATATATTCTTTCTTGATTATTCATCCCAACTATATAATAATATTATATATGCAATTTCGGGCCACAACTTTTGTTTATACTTCAATCTAGATTTCTTGAAAAATATTTTTAGCACGTTTATGAACTTATTTTTATTTATTTTCCCTGGAATTAATGCACTTTTTAAATACGTATTTTATACTTTTGTACGCGGTTCACCGAGAAGATAAAATTATTCAACACGCTTGTTTTGCAGTAAAAATATTTATATTACATTTGAACGGTGACCTAGTTTTATTGCTGTAACGAATAAAAAAAAAAAATATTCTTGTTTAAGTAATACATACATAAAATCGAATTCATCCACACGTATATTTTTGTCGTTTACAAAATTAACCATATTAAAATAAATATTTTCCCTTTTCGGAGAAAATTTAATACTCAACGTAGCGTAGATACAAATAGTAATGTAATAAATCACTTCCGGCACAAATATTTCGAATTAATAACCTAACTAATGTATAAAATGATTTTATGGTAATGTATTCCTTGCGATTGAAATTCATTCTCAACAAATATACTGAAGTACGTAACTGCATTATCATAATGATGGTTTGTCGGATATCGAACTAATTAATCGTGATGGACAGCTGCGTAAAGATTAATATATTTTAAAATATCTAGATAAATACAACATGTATAATTATATACATACGTGTGATATTCGATACAGTAATAGCTATCCCGACGAAGACAAGAGATGACTAACAATTTAATTATCTAGAATAAATATTGATGGTGACACGGCAAAAGGGTCTAAGCGACACGGTTTCACTATTAAAAATGGAACGGAAAAATACGCGTATCGTCCATTGCGCGCACGCAAAAACATCCGTGACCATAATTTAACGAACAATTTGAATTTCCAGTTTGAGGTATAAACGGCACTTTATATTTTGTCTTCTCGATTATAGCGTCTGAACGACAATAATAGGGAATAGACGACATTAGTAGAATTATTTATGGGACAAGTGACGTTTATCGAGATTACGTAGATTTTTTATGTTATTTTTACTTACCACATTTTAATAAAGTTTTTCAACTTTATTTGCGACGAATATTTATTTACACTTCATTTTGATCAAAATGTGATTGACTGTTTTTTTATTAGTCTTAAATTAAAGTAATTATTATAAAAAGATATGAGTATAGAAAAAGAGATAACAGTATGAGATCAACTATGTAAAAAAATAAGGCATAAGTGCCAAATTTATTAAACAAATTTATTTAAATTGCTGTGTGCACGTAAATAATTAGCAAAAGCTAATTAACAATGGGTTTTCATATTGAGAACGTATGAACAAAAAAAAAAAAATTAACCAATGAAAAAGTTCCCTATTTCAACTGAAATAAAAGTTATTGTCAACCTAAAAAAAAAAAATAAAATGTTAAAATCATAAATAAATGCTTTTAACTCTCCTGAAAACTATGAATTGTGTCATTTAGACTCTTTTGCCGTGTCACCGTCGATATAAGTCGATATCATGATGAAAAAAAAATGATAATTTTTATGTTACGACTAAGCTAAATAAAAGTTTACCAGATGTGTGAGAGAGAAATATTTAAATATAGTTGAATTTTATAATAATTAATAATATTAAAATTTTAATTTTATAAAGCAGCAAATGTTGTTATTTTAATTGATAAAAAAATAGCCCCTACAAAAAATTAAAACAATAACAAATTATGTTTTTGACTAGGTATCTACATACTCGTATAGGTACTTGTTCTATACGGATTTAAACCGTGAAATAAGTCCTTTTCAAGTACCTATATAACAAAATGTAAGTACAGTTAATTCATAAAATGAGATTCAAGCAATTTTGAAATGTTGCGTTTGAAAGGAAATCCACCCATGTGGCTTCTATTATTATTTGTTAGGCACGAGGGGAAACCATTTTCCGAGAGGGATTTAAGAGCACGGATTATGTTATACGCAATCGAATAAATCAACAATAGTTGTACTAGCCACTATTGTTGGGTATATTTTCTCATATTATTCTGTCGCGGTAATGTTTTGTAAATACTCATTTTGACAGAATTGTACTTTTGCGGTTCGAGTACCTAAATAACAATAATATTATAGATAAGCCTAACAGCTTGCTACCTACTGAAAAGATGTTTTTTTTTTTAAATACTATTTCATGGGCTAATTAGCGAAAGGTCATGTGGGTGGAGACGGATCGATATTTTTTTATCTGAAAACATCGTGCACAGACAATCTCTTTTAAAGTAAATATGAAATACATTATATTATTACGATATGATTCTTTATTTCGATTAAAAACATTGTAAAAATAAATTTACTTTTCTTGGTTTTAGACTCATTTAGCTTTATGCTTTCATTCTCTGGACCTATCAATACACTTTTATAAACTGCGAACGTTGCCGATATATTTAATCGATTCTATTAGTTAGTGTCTTTGGCCGTACTATATTATGATCTAAGATTGTTCTAAACAAGATAACAAAAAGTGATTATTTATTTTCATTAAAAGTTTGAAACAATTATTTTTTATTTCAAACTGTAGTATAATAAAAACAAATAACCAACGGTGGAAGGATTGAGCTCCTAGATGGCCGATCTTCCCACGATTAAGACACTGCAACTGTTTAAATAGCATACAATTTATTACGATTTTTATATTAAATTATAATATCTAGATGAAGAATGAGATTTCGAGAATTTTCAAAAAAAATAACAAGAAAACAAATGTATATTTTATTAAATATAATTTAAGGATAATAACTCATGTAAAAAAAATTAAATTTTGGAAATGTGATAAAATAAGATAGAAGATTTATTAAGATTCAATAAATCTTATTCGTACATTTTCTAAAACGGAAACATACATTTTTAACATCAAATGTATTATTTTTTTTCTAAAAAATGTCTTAAGATAGCCATTTAACATTTTTTTTTGATTTTCTAAAAAATTCAAGGCTAATGATCACTTTGCGAAGACTACTGTTTTATGGGAAAAACATATAAGTAAATATATACATAAAACTATAGAAAAATATATTAAATTAATAATACTATTTAATCAACAACACACTGATGGCTGTTAAATAAATTAGACAACAGGTAGGTACAAAAAAAAATAAATAAAAGACTGATATACTTCGCACGTGGGTGCTGCCACTGTTGTAGGTGGGAAGTTGGGAATGTAGATTACAGACGGGAATTTAATATGTATCTGTAAGCAACGATGAACCATTGCTAACGAAAAAACGATTCTGAGCGAAGTTCAGTTGATAGCATTGCTTTTTCAACAATATATACATGTCATATTATGGTAAAATTATTAAAATGTGCGTTTCATGACAACAATGATTATTTGAAAAAGATAGAAATAATAAAACTTAATTTTAATAAAAAATAAAACATTTGCCAACGACAACCTTATTTTTAATTTTTAAATTTTTTTTAACCTGAAGAACCGGGTTTTCCTCGTTATTTCGAATATTAATGAGAATTTCAAAAAATGATTACACTAAAGTATCACGCCTAGAGAACATTTCCTTTCAGAAAAGTTGCTACACTTGATAATCGGAGTAAGCTTTATGGTAGAAATAGTGTTTAGATAAAAAAAAAAATAAACATCATTGTAAAACCAATATATTTCTCGCGCCGCTCAGAATCTAAAACTTTAAATGGCTGTATCCGAAACAAAATACGGAGGTAGAAAAAAGTCACTTGAAAGTTTGAAAAATGATATTCAAAGTTGCTCGGAAAAAATTTGACCATTCCAATATAATATGGCGTTCAAAACAGACGTTTCCGTTTAAGAAAAACACGAGTTTCTATGCGCGCATGCGTACACCGAAAGTATTATACATTTGAAATTCACCGTTGAAAATGTATATCCCAACAGTTCGAATTGCATTCCGATTTAGATACAAGGTCATCCGGCCAAAATGCATTTAGCGTCTCTTGGATACGGCTCACGCCGTATTTCCGGAAATCACGCGCGCTGCACCACTAGTATAGCAATCGTTGTACGAATATACAAATATTCCGGTAACCTAACCTTAAAATAAGAACGCCGGTAATGCAGGTCTCACGGTGGACGTTGGTTATTGTATGTTCGTTTGTTGTCGCAGGTAACATGTGGGGAAAGTGCGACAACGGGACGGAAGGACTGGGCTGCGGGAAACCGGAAACGTTCCGGAACTGCGCGGACGTCCAAATAGTGACCAGCACGTCCGGGCTGCCACCTCAGTTCATACACAACCGGCCGCTGTACCATTACAATCACTTCAGCTCGGCTCTGCGGGGCGACGACCCGAGGATAGCGCCGCAGATTTATTACCCACTTGTGGTCAAGTACGTATAGCGCGCGCGTGCCGTCGCCAATTTGTCAACCGCCGCGCGTCGCACCGGTAGCTTTTCCTTTACCGGCCGCTGCCCATTGCATGATAACAATAACAATAACGGCAATAATAGGCGTACGTACATTACACCCCGTCCTCGGGGCCTTCATTTCGATTTTTCAATACGTTTTGTCACCGGTCAATTGCGGGTTTATTCCTCCGCGTATTCCTTTTCTTTCTTTCTTTTTTTTTTTTTTTTGAATTCGTTTGAAAATAAGGGATGAGTAAATTCGGTAGGAGAAATCGTTAGGAGTTATATATCAAACTGCGTGCAGTGTCCATCAATAGTCGTTGATTTTTAATAGATGTTTTCTTGGCGATGATTAAAGTCTCGTTTTTTATTTATTTATTTATTTTTTTTTTTTTTCATTAATTTTTAAAACCTTTTCGTTTCCGCGATGTTCGACATCGTTTGTCAACTATTAGAGCGTTCGGTGTCCCGATTTGTGTAAAGATTTGTGTACACAATGTAAACCGAGTAGGGAAACATAAATTATTATATTATTAAAGCGGCGATTGTCGACGCGCCTTCAATCGACATGAATACGATCAATCAGACATTACAGTATGCCATACGATGAACGAATATATTTTAAGGCGTTTTCGATTGTCGCATGAAAATCGCGGACGACTGTGTATCAAATCAGTTGATTAAAATCAATTTCGGTTTAAACGGTTTTTAAAAATTAAGTACTAATTAAAATGATAATCTTCGATTTAAATCAATTGTCACAACTATATAGTTTTCAAATCGATTTCCGTCCGTGCGGAATGGATTTTGACGCGTGTTTTGATTTCACACGTACCGAACGTAACGCGTACAAAATCGCGACAAATTCACTATATCGAATGCGCTGCACCGGCGGAAAACGGTGTTTTTTTTTATCTATTATCTACATTATTATAATTAGGACAGATATTAATATGTCATAAAAACCTTTAAATTTACAAGCGGATATACTCTAAAAATAAAATATTCCCTTTCTAAAAAAAAAAAAAAAAAATGATAAAAATTATGTTAAAAGTATCTTAAAAATATGCGAAATTCTTAAAATATGTTCTACGAATGCGCGCAATTCTAAAATGTGACCGAAGAACCCTAAAACGCCAAACTTTGCAAAATAAAACATGTCGCAAATGCATATAAATAGAAAATTGTCAAACGTTCGTTAATAATCGTTCGTTTGTTTTTCGTACCGGTTGAAAAATACTGTTATTGTTCCAATTATATAATTTATTGCATATTTTACCGTATCTGTGCATATTAATCGGCGGACCTTTGAGTTACAGTAGAAACTGTTTATAACGACCGGCGTCATTATAAACGGTATCTATCTACTGTTTATAAAACAACACAGATAGAATAGACACCGTATTAGAACTCAGTATAGGTAGGCATACCGAGGAACAAGGATCCGTTGAAAGTGTGACACGTGTTTTTCCAACTGTAATAATTTTAAATGTGATTTTATCTGTCACGCAAATGGCATAAAACACAAAAAAAAAAAAAAAAAAAAAAAAACCCGCGTGGTCAGTTCGTTTTGTATCGAAACCGTTGGATTTTTTTTGTCACGCGTTTCTCTCGTCCAATGTGACCGTAAAAATTATCTACGGAAACACTACCATAGTAATAATAATTATTAGCATTGTTTACATTAAGAGGACGTCAGCGTGAACGTACCTAAATATTTCGGTGTATTGAAAAAAAACGTTTTATCTCGAAACGGTAATATTATATTGGTGACTTTATATTAAAGACAGATACCCTGTTTCAAAATTTTCGATCGTTTCAAATCAAACTTGTTTGTTTTTATTTTTTTTAATCGGTGGTTGGATTATATTTCGAGAAAAAATTAAATTTTTATTTCACTCCTTAACGACTAGAAAAAAATTACTTTTTATTTGTTCACATTAAAAAAATTTCAAAACAGTCATTTTGCAATTGATATTATTTTAAAAACTTGAACGTATCATACATACATATCCCATTAATGGTTTCTTTTTAATAGCTATTTTAATTTTTAGAGAAGAGATATCAATTATTTTACTTCACACAAGCATATTTTGTGCTGTTACTATAGTGTTGCGATTTTATTTAATGTCATTTTTTTTCATAACTCTTCTCTAGAAATCACTAAGATATTATTCATCCGATATTCACGAATGTATTGTAATAAAAAGTATTTTATAGTGATCAAGGGATGAAAATGAAAATTTAATTTTTTCGTGTACCATTAACAAAGATATAAACTTTTTTTTTTTAATAAGCGTTTTGAAATCAAACGAAAACCTCAAAAAAAAAAAAAATAAAAATACGGCACTTAAAATTATGTATTACCGAACTGCGCTCGGAAAGCAATAGTTTATCGTTGTTTACAGATGTAAATGAAATAACCGTATGTATCCTACCTTATCAACTTCTCACCTACAATAGTGGTCACTCCCATTCCCAGTATTAGCTCTATTTTTAGTTTTCACTTATTTCATTAACTTTTGTAGTGACACATTTGTTTATTATACCTACCAACCTATTCCTATTATTGACCATTTGTCCTGTCCGCTTTCAACTACAGTCATATACCATTATTCCCAAATACCTCGCATGCAGTGAAGTAGAACAATACAAAAATATTACTAGTGCCGGAATGATCTGCAGTGAATATCCTAGCGAAACCAAGTTTTTCTTGCAAATTTAAGTAAATCATACAATACGTTTAGGAAAATACTTAGAAGGGTCTTAAGAGAAATAGGCTTAAGTAACAAGCTATATAAGCTATTTTACACAAGAGACGAAAAAAACTACTAAAGACCTTTAGCATTTGACACTTATGGTTCGTTGACTAATGGCTTTCTCATTTTGATTTGATATTTTACGACAATTATTTATAGATATCAGCCCTTTACCGAAGCCGAAAATAGCCGAAATTGACTTTTGTGCTATCTCGCGAAACCCGTTATTAAAATAAGAAAAAACTGAAATCATTGTCCGGACAATTGTTCCGTTTTTAAAATGGTTACATTATAAAATATATTTTATTTCACTTGGTGGGTAAAACGTTCAAGTTGTATAATTCAAATTCGGTGTAAAATGTTTTCAAAGTAGGTACCTACATCTACGCGAGGATAATTCAAAATGTCAACCTACAAATTCTTAGAATACACGGCGACCTATATTTTAATATATTCAGAGTTTCTCCTGCACTTTTGTTGGACTTAATAAAGTTTATACAATACATAAAAATATGCATAAATAAATAAAATCATATTTTAACGAATAATAATTCATTTTTGTTATATATATTATAGTGACTCGAAACTCAGGTAGGTAAATTGTTAATGCCGGAAACTTTTTTAATACTATGGAAATGAATGCTATTCAAAAGTTTTTTTTTTTTCAAACTTATAATAAAGTCAGTATTTATACTAATACGACCGTCTGTTGATTTATCGGTTATTTTATTTTCAAAACAAGTTTCTGAAATTTACGAATCGATGTCTCATCGCGTACAAATTATTTGTATAATAACGATATTAATATTATACTGATGTGTGTATATTTATATATATATAGATACAGATTGACTTTGATTAATATTTCATTTTAATAATAATTGGTGCAAAAAACCAGATAGCCTCTTTTTTTTTTTTTTTCGAAAATGCATTTTCGACGGTATAATTAAAAAAAAAATAATTATCTTTATTTTTGGCAAGACAAGCGAATAAATCCAATATATCGGATCCGTGAACAAATTTCGGTACAAAAGAAAACTTTATTTTTTTTTTATTGTTTCTGAACTATTTCAAAACGTGGAGTTTTCCGGTTGTTTCTCCGAGGTCCATATTGAAATAAAATATAATGAACAAACGAATATTATACCGTTTTTCTTCTTCTTTTATTTAAGGGGTAGTTGCTTTCAAACCAGCCCTCCAATTAAATGTGTCTTTATCTATGCCTGTCCTCGGCTGCCTGTCTCCATTGTACTCTAGGTTCCACAGCTCCTGCATTCCTGACAAGTGACAACACAATCATCCATTCTTAAGCGAGGTGTTCTCAGTGGTCGTTTTCCTGTTGGATTGCTTTCGATTACAGTCTTTACGGTTAATTCTCGGTTGGCCGATGCATGATGTCTTGCTTATTTCGTGTAATTTTCTATTTTCATGACATTTCTTTTGCTATGCTATGACGTTAAAAAACATCCTGGAGTAAAATGAATATTACACTAAAACATCATTTAACACAAAATCGTATTATTACATTGCTTATTTAATTGTTCATGAAAATATATTTATTAGGTAATAATATTAATTCAAAAGTATACCTATAGACGAATTAATGTGTAGCCAAAGTTCCATTTTAGATTCTAAATGGAACGAAGAATGTGTTGGTTTTACAATGATGTTTATTTTTTTATGTAAACACTTTTTCTATCAGATAGCATACTCTGATTATCAATTATAGTACCTTTTCTGAAATAAAATATTCTCTGGATGGTACATTAGAGAGGTCATTTTTTGAAATTAATATTCGGGATAATGAGGAAAACTTGGTTCTTTAGGTTAAAAAAAGATTGAAAGATTAAAACTAAAGTTGTCATTGGCAATCATTTTTAATTATTTTTTGTTATTATTAAGTTTTTATTATTTTGATCTTTTTCAACAGTCATTGCTGTCATGGAAGCGCACATTGTTGTAACTCCGCTTAGAATCGTCTTTTCGTTATCAATGGTTTATCTTTGCTTATAGATATGCATTAAATTCTTATTTAAATCCTATCTTCCCAATTTCTCACCTACAACAGTGAATACACCCACGTGTGAAGTATGTCCGTTTTTTTTTTTTTGTACCCATCTGTTGTCTAATTTTTTTAACAGCCATCGGTGTTTTGTTATGAATAATAAGTTTTAATTAGAATAATGTACAAAACCATATACTAAAAAAATGTTTAAACTTTTATATTATTATTAATTATAGTATACATTTTTGAGTATTAAAAAAAAAAACCCAAAAACCCTACGTTTTAGTTGAAATAATACGTATTATACATCAGAATGTCTGTTCCACAATAATTGACTAATTTCCCGAAGAAGGAAAACATAATATAATATATTTTTTGATCCAGCAATACACATCACCAATTTTCTAATATTTATGGTTTCATATCGTTGAAATTTAATAATTAACTGTTCGTTCGATATTTGATAAAATATTACTGAGTAAACGAAAAAAAAACATTTTAGAGACTTAGTTGACCGTCTATTTATTTTATTTTTCGACCGTATTCTATACAATTGTTTTTTGACAGTTGCGTTATTAAACGGTTATTGCCTTTCAGTTATTCACTTTCAGCAATCATTTTAAAAATAACTTTTTGATTAGGAATTTTATTTTAAAGTTTACTATTATCGAAATAGAGTTATTATAACAATTGATTTTCAACTAAATTGATTGTACCTTTTGATAAGAAAAATTCACACTTATCATGTTTTTTCTTTTTAATAGCATATTACTTGCTAACGTAAACTTTTAAAGATAAAAACGCATTATAAGGAATTATGTTCAAATTAAAACACGATCCTTATAAACGCACGGACACGTAAGGTGTGATGATTACTTTATACAATATGTATTAATAATGTTTACTTTTAATTTAGGGCTCAAGTGTGTGTTGCGACGGAAATGTATCGTATAGTGCCCGGAATGGATAAATGGTGCGAAAATAATTGCGTAAACTTCCCGTCGAATTGCCCCGAAGAGTTCTGTACTTGCCCGTAAGTTTCGTCATTATATTGCATGACACTACGCGCGTTTCGCGTTGTTTCAAAAAATGCTAACAATAATGCATAATTAATTTATAATAATATAATATCATGACGTATTTTGCGCAGTGACCAATGTACCGGGATTGGTGAAATAAAAGGACTGCCCGGTGCTGACGAATATTGCCAAGACCAATGCATCGTGTACGGAGCGAAATGTCCAAAAAAAAGATGCGTCTGCTATTAAACTATTTTTTTTCTTTTTTTTCTACTTTGATTTTGTACAGTTCTATGAAAAAAAAAAAATAAAATAAAATAAAAACTAAAAAAAAACTATAGGTTATAAACGAGTGGTATTTATTTTGTTTAATTTTTCAATTTATTATTGTTATTAGTATTATTTTTTTTTCAACGATGATGGTTCGTTGCGTAGAAAACACAAACATATATCTGTCGAGTCCAGCTTAACCGTTCTTGAAACGTATATGGTTTTATTTCTTGAAAATACACGCGAATAATGATAAATTGTATAATAGGTTTATACCAATCTAGAATTAAACAACCTGAATTTCCGTTAGTCAAGCTATATATATATATATATATATACGTATAAGATATAGTTAGAACCCTAAAAAACAGCTAGTGGGGGAAACGTGTGTGAAGATGAGATCGGATGGACTAATTGGACAGAGACCAAACACTTAGGGACAAAAGCGGACGAACAGATAGCAAGTAGGTAAAGGTTGTTAGGAGTTGGGAATGCGGAAGAAGCTGCAAAGTTTGATAAGAATGGGTGGGACGCAGTGAGCTGCTGGGACACTGGGTTTAAAAGCCCGTGACTAAGCTAGCGACAACAACAACCGATTACCTAAGAAATAAAATTAAAAAAAAAAGGAAATAAATAAATTATGACGTAGGTATTCCTGGAATTGAAAGTTTTATTTAGTTTTTGCGCGAGTGCTCGCAAAATTGAAATATTAATGTGCCAATGCTATTTCAATAAATAAATAACGTTTCAGACGTAGAAACATATTCTAAAGTTATCCGTATAAATAATATTGTAAAACGTAAACATATTTCATAATAACTCTAATAAATCTACTTTCAATATAACGTTTATAGAAAGTCTATAATATTAGTGATTTGATTTATTTATTCTCATGTAAAGTATGTATTATAGTTTATTGTTTCAGACTATACAATAAATATCGTTGTATATATTCAGTAGTTCTGTTATTTCGCATTAATTCTTATGTACGCACAATATATTTATTTCAAAAAGCAACCAAAAAGAGTATATTTGTTTAAAAATTTTGACACGCACAACACTCGGGTGCATCGGATATATACCGTTTACGGGTTATTACAATTTAAAATGTATACCGTAAAAGTTACGAATTCGGGGTTATCATCTAAAATTTGATACCTATGTAATCTATTATACGTTTCTATTGCTCCGGTCTAGATGTTATTTTTTCGAATCTGTATCGAAGAGGATAACGGGTTGGTTGACATTTAAAAATATCAATAACCGAAACTCATTTATTGTACTAGGAGTTGAGGGAAAAGTTTAAAAATAATGTACGAATAAAGAGGAGCCTCCGAGAAATTCATTGGATCGTAATAATAAAAATCACCCTCTATTAAAATTTAAAATAGCTGGTATGCTAATATTTGTTTATTTTTTTTTTCCGTACAATAAAATGATTATTTTACAATTAAATTACTTGCCAAAAAAAAAAAAGAACGGAGCCATTTTTATAACCATTAAAAATATCGTTGTCGATTCAATGTGGTTTTTTTTATATTATAACATTGGATATACTTTTTACTGCTGAAATATACTATACATGTAGCATTAAGATTAACGCAGTGTTTTCGATTAAATTATTCCGTGATTTATTGAAGAAATTAAAGTTATACTGCAGCAGGATGAAGTATCTTTTACTGATGATAAAACACTTATAATCCGACAGTTTTATATTCGATAAATCTTTAATAAAAGTTTATTTTTTGAACAATTTGTCACTGAATGTTCAACGAATATTTTTTTAATAATTATTTATTAATTAAGTATTATTTGGAAAAGTGGAAAAAAACCAATATAACACGTTAAAACGTCTAAAGCTTATGTATTACAATTAAATCGGTTACAATAGTTTTGGGCAACGCATTGTTTTTTATCGTAATAAATAAATATACCTATACTGATTTTCTGAATTTGACACATATACGACGTGTAACTAAATGATTTTCAATCGTATCATTAATGAATAGATACTTTTAAAAATACAGGACAATTTATTCTGTAGTGTCTCTTATATAACTAATTTATAATTATAAATAAAATTGTAATTTTGTTTTAATTATTTTTTTTTATGTTTTGGTTTTTAATTTTGAATTTTAATTGATTTCTTTTCAAAATAATTCCAAACTCTATTGTTTAAGATTAAAATGATTGGATACGGACTGTAACTATCGTATACAATTATAATAATAGATTCGTCGTAGACATGATATTGTCACAATTTCCAATAAACCTACATATCAACATGTATTGTGAAATTATTAACCAATGAATTTTCTGTATTTGTATTTAAAACAGTGTGCCATTCGTGTGAACATAAACTTCGAAGTAAAATCTGTAATAATTTTTTATTTATTTTTTAAAATTATTATGACTGTAAAACTTGGATAATCGTTTTATGCAGAAAAGAAAATACAATTATAAAGACTTAAAATGTAATACTATCGAGTATCCAATAGAAAGAAAGAGTAATAAAATTAAATTTCTAGTTGTAATTACTATGTATAATATATGGCAAAAAAAAAAAGAAAAGATTACATTTAAAAAAACACATTTTTGATAATATCAAGTTTGTATTTTTAGGAGTAAATTAACAGAAAACATCGGGTTAAGATAGTGCAGTTTATATTTTAATTAAAACAAATGATTTATATTTCACCAGAATGCGCGCGGTTTTTAATACACTCGTATATTTTTCCAATAAAAATAATCTGACAAATATGCAATAAATTGTGCGTGTATGCCAATAACTATATAATATAATAAAATAGATTTTAAAAAAATGAAAAATAAATAAAAATACGTACCTAACGGAATATAAAAATGTAAATAGCTTTAGCTACATACAGGAGTTAAAAAAATATATATATATATATATGTATCGATTTTGTATTTTTATAAAAAATAAATAATATATAATATACGATCACTAGGTATACTCGAATACTATAAAAACGTTGCAGTTTATCATATTAATAATGATAAAAACTGTTTTATAGGACTTTTTTTTTTTTTTCGGAGTCGTGCAATATATTTATATATTATTATATACATGTACGTATTGTTAATTTGAATAGATAATATTATTGGATTAGAGTCGTACGATAATAATTTAGCGCTTTTTTTTTTTTTATGTAAATATATATATATATATGTGTGTATACACGACACACAATTTTGTATAACTATGTCAATAACTTTAACGAGAAAATCGCAAACGGCTTTTAGCGAAATTAAAACCGAAAATAGTTTCTGTCTATATTATTATTTATGGTACGAGTGACGTTCTAAAGGAGCATAATAAATCGTATATATAATACAACGTCTTAATAAATAACATTTTGAATTCGTCGAGTTGTCCCGACAAAGTGTCATACATTTATTTTAATAACAATATATATATTTAATAATAAATGGAATTAATGTTCGTTTACCTAATGCACATTCATCAACGTCAATGAAATAAAAAAAAAAAAAAAAAAAAAAAATCGTTACACTGGTTTATGTATTTTAAATGTATTATTATTAATTTTGCATAATTACTCTCGGGTTATAGTTATTAGTATCTTATTATTATTATTATTGTTATATTTTTTATTTGATAATATTTCACTAGAAAAAAATGATTTTTTAATATACCTAAAAAAAAAAATTCCCGTGAATTCGGTTATTTTCAATAGGTAATAAAATTTTTTATTTTACGATAGAAATCTTTATCTTAATCTTAGTTTTAATTAAAAAATGTCGTCTAGTTTGAACATTGGGCTATATGATTATTTTTAATCGAATGACATTAGGCAAATAAAATTCAAAATACTAAATAATGAAACCTTTATATAGCCGTACATTTTCACGTTTTTTCTAGGTTTTTCTTAAATGCGTGAAATACTACAATACTACAAGACAAATCAAAAAATTATCTCCTTATTAGATAAAATAGTAACCGATTGTTTTCAGAAAATATACTACCCTTGAACATCGGAAAAAAAAAATCATAAAAATAGTATTACTGTATGGATATTTATTTTATTTCTGTTTTGAAATCTTAATTGACTTTCCCCTTGAATTATAGCATAATGTTCAATTTGAATTTATCAGAAAACGTTTAAACGAACTCCGCTCAAATCCTTTTTCGTTTGCGTACAGATATACAAACTAAACTACCCTATATAATTTCCTACCTTATCAACTACTCACCTAAACAGTGGGTGGTTTACTTCTTTTAGTTAAAATTATCACATTATTTTTGGCAAATATAGTTAGGTGTAAACTAATAAATAATCTTATCATTTTCGAAAACATAATACATTTTTTCGCCAAAGAACTAAATTGTGCAGTGTATACTTTATTTTCTTAGCTAAACTTTAAACCATTATTTTCGGATATACCGACTGGAAACTTCCATTAATTAAGTTTGCCATTATAAAATATATTACATGCGTTAGGTATTACCATCAATCAATGAAACGTCAACGGCAAAATATATTAAACAAGTTTTCTTTCAATTGCTAGAGAAATATTATTAATTTTTTTTAATTTTCAGTAGCTACAAAAAATAAAATAACAAAAAAAAAAAAAACCCTTGAAATGTTGTATTTAATTTAAGAGAAGAAGAAAAATACAGAGATAAATAGTAGAAATGAAATATTTTACACTCCAAAAAATAAATGGAAAATAAATCCATACAAATACCCAAGATTTTAACGATAGTATGGTTTTATTTTAATGAGAATATATTTTAATTGATGTTAATTTTTTAAATAAATTAAACAAATTTCGGAAAATATTTAATATGGACGTTTTTAATAAAAAACTATTCGATGATGATAATAATAATAAGTAGGTACAATAAAATGATCACGTAAAATTAAATTATTGAATATGTAAGTACTTACAGAGGCGGTCAAACAGGGTAGGATGAGGGGGAAATATCTCTCCCATAGCCCCTCTGCACTACTGCAGTGTACTTACGTGCACATATAAATAAAAATATATGAATCCATACACAATATATTATAATAATGTTATGTAC